ACTTGAAAATGAGAGAAATCTCACTGTATCCTTCTACGTAAAATATTTTATAAATAAATAAATATTAATGAGTTGCTTCCTCCTCTGTCATTCAGTCTTTGAAATGTATAGGCAACAGAATAACTAGAGAGCCACAGGGGTTTATCTATAAAGTTACAGCAGTACCCTCCCCTCCAAACCCCTCTATATTGGAAGAATCCAGAGAAAGATGTGCCTCTGGTACTGTACCTAGCAATTTTGATCATTGCTGAAGTAGAGCAGAGGGCCAGTGACATAGACCCTTTTGCTGCATGTAGACCACCACTCTCTCTACTCCCCGTAACATGTATTGAAATAGATCGGGGAATGGGGCCATGTATTGAGATACCCCAAACACATAAATGCTTAGTGTTCTATGCCATATTGTTCCATTCATGATTTGGCAATATCATTCATGTGGAACTAACAGACTCCTAACCTGCAACCTGGGTATAATTGGCAGTGCCAGATTGACTCTGAAAATGTTATGGTTAACATTTGCCATGATGTCCATTTCATGATGATATTTTTTGATCACTGGATGTTTTGCATACATTGAGGAGTATTTTAAGAGGATTCTCTAATACTTTTAAAATCGGTTTACAAATTGTAACTTCTAGCACTGATACCAATGACTCTAGGTTTCAACAAACTTTAATCTACTTATATCTATTAAGGGCTAGGCTTACCACGAACCAAAAGTGGAAGGTTATAGTGGAAACCTGATGAAGGAAAATATAATTGTCCACAGTGTTTTCTTTGACTACACGTCGTCTATCACTCAAATATCAATACAAAACAAAATTACTTGTATGTTGGTTCTCTTGATGATATGCCATCACAAACACAGTAAAGGATCACTATACGGTCAGGAACACAAACATGTATTCCTGACCCTATAGTGAAAACCCACCATTTAGGTGGCTTGCACCCCCTTAGGGCCCTCAGAATGGGTTGAAACTAACTTTATTTCCAGCTCTTCACGGGTCTGCCAGTGCTGGCCCCGCCCCCTTGGTGACATCATCAAAATTGTCGATTTTTAGCCAAGCATTGGATTGGCTAAAATCGGCAAGGGGCGGGGCCAAACACCATTTTGGCCAATCAGCACCTCTTCATAGAAATGCATTGAATCAATGCATCTCTATGAAGAAAACTCAGCGTCTCCATGCAGAGCGTGGTGATGCTGAACGGCAGGGCTTCTTACTGTGCAGCCCTGAGCCAGGAAGCCACTCCATGTAAACACTGCCTTTTTTCTGAAGGGAGCTATTATACTCACCAGAACAACTACATTAAGCTGTAGTTGTTCTGGTGACTATAGTGTCCCTTTAAATATCTTACTTCCACTGCTGAACCGTAATATAGACTTCTCAGATACTGGTACTCCTCTGGCTGGTAAGGATGTACAGCTTTGACAACAAAAGAGTGAGAGTGATAGAAAAGAAAAACCTGTCACAAGAAAAGTCCACATCTGTCACAGTACCTCTTAGATCCGTGTGATTCTGGTGCCCGTATTGATACTGCACGTACCTTCCGTGTTGATCTGGATGGTGAAAGCCATCTCCTTTCATCCTTCTGGTGTTATTTTGGATGCTAGTCACTTAGAACTACTTTCATCATTTTCAAAGCACACTCTCCTGCATCATTTTTGCAACATCGCTTTTGCACTGTTTGGCAGTGGAGAAATGACATGAACCAATCAAAGGCTTTCTAACCTTCCATTGCCTATCTAGCTTTGCCCTGTCCTGGTTACCCATATGGTGATCCGAGAGTGTGTTCATAAAATATTCTGATTCCAGTTTCTTTTACTTCGGCTTGTTCCTGACTATTCTCCTTTCTGTAATTTTTTACTTTGGCTTGTCTTTTGTCCTTGACCTCAGCTTGTTCATGACAATTATTTTACATGTTATTATTCTGTAATGTTAAGACTGGCTTATTCAAATGATTCACATAAAATAAAAGTTTAAGGATGGTCACATAGGGTTACTTACGCTTATGTACGCTCATAATTTCATCATTCTCCCTCTACATAATCCAAGGGTAGGGAGTGCTACTCAAGGGCACAGGTATCCCAGAATAGATAATTAGATAATATATGGCTTCTCTGCCCTTTCATGGAGCAGGACCAATTAGGAGATAAAGAGAATAATATGCCAAAATAAACCCTTATCCAAGCATACCATTCCAACCCCCTTTGTAGCAGGGCCAAAAGTTCTATGTACAAAAAGGGAGTCCCAGAAAGACAGTTTACTGTCTCAGGTTCCTTCCTCCCAGCACACATTGCCTTGGCCTTCACTGCTCGCAAGAAATAACAATCTCTGGTGCCTTAATTGTGAATAGCCACAAGTCGACCTATGCCCTCTTTACTGTGCTCCGCTTTGGCTCCCTCCACACTACTCCATATATTCAGGACCTGACACCACTTATATAATATTTGTGCCTGAATAACTCAACAATCTACTGCCGGAGTCCTGGTGCATTGCACTGGCTATAGTATTGCCCCAGATTGACATCTATCAATCATCCTACAATAGGGGATGCTAAAAGTTAGACTGGCAAAACATCATGGGAACTGTAGTTTGTCAGCAAATGGTGATCTACATTTGAATACCCCTGATGTACAACAAAGCAGAGTTCTCTGCAGAATACGGTTTTCATTATCATAGAGCACTTTGCATTACTGCAGAGTGCAGCATAGTCATTATTAATGCATACCTTGAAACCATATAACTTTTTTTTTGCTGTTATTTCTTAATGGTCACTGATGGGGGATATTTGGCCACTCTTCCTTCCCTATGTCAGAACTCAGTGTTGCTTTTTAATTGTCTATAACTCCTATAGACGGTTTACAATCCAAAGCAAAACTAAGACTATCCAGGTTTTTTAAATTAACAAACTTAATACTAAAAATTCTATATATAAAAACAACAACCAAGGTTATTTCGTGCTAGGTTTTTATAAAATGCAAAAATGCATAAAGAAATGTAGGTACTATTTTTTCTTATGTATAGCACTCAAATTCACACAACCTGACAGTGGGCGTAGCTTAAGCAAGGGTCTATAACAGATTTACCCACAACCCATCAGTCAAAAGAATCCCACAGAAGGGAAAACGGCAAACATAGTCCAAGGAGAAACAAATGGCTGCGCCCAGATAATGAGATTCGGCTCAAGAGAAAAAAAATAAATATAAATAAATGCAAATGGCAGGGGATAGTATACTTATTAACATACAAGAGGCATAAGGAAAGGAGAACCAAAAGACAAAAAAAACATGCTTTGTATATAAATATGAAAACAATAGCTGATCTGGAAAAAATCTTGATCTTGGCCACAGTTACAACTTGGCCATTTGGATTAGATTTGAAAAAATAAATAAATCAGGATTTAGTAAATAACCTTGCATGACTGGAGAATATTCTCAGAAAATATGAACAAGCTATATCTGTGTTAAAAATACACCATGCAGACTATTTACCATTTAATGACTATCCTTAATTAAAACTATAAAAGACATTTGGGCAGCAAATTGGTGTTAAAATGGTCCCACCTTCCTTCACATCTCATGAATCTGTTTACCAAAGATTTTTTTTTTTTTTTTTTTTTATATTCAAAATGTACATTGTTATGGAATATGTAAGTGCCATATATTCACAATGTTAATACAAATTAATAAACAAAAGTAATAATATGCAAAAGCAAAAGCCAAAGATTATTCATGAAAACTAGAGAGAAAGAAAGATATATAACTTGCATTTTTGAGAGGTTGATTCACTCAACAGAAAGCTTGATCTATTTTCAGCTGGTCTTTTACATCAGGCCCAAATATTACAGGCACAAAGTTAAAATTAGGTTGAAATGAAATACATCATCTGCACATCAGATGCTACAACTAGATTAGAAAAAAAAATGTACTGGTGACACTGGATCCTTCACACCTAACCCGAGTTTCTCTCTGAGTAAATAAATGTATCCATGAATGCAGAAAGGAAATGTGGTCACCCTTCCCCCATCCAATTCTCCTCCACAGTTCTGGCACAATATTTAAATACGCTGCTTCAGGACAGAGGTGCATACATAACTTTACAGAGTAACTAAACAAAACATTTTCCATCTTTCTACGTGGTAGCAATTAAAGGTGTGCTTGTAAGTGTGAACTACAGAAACAGAGAGGAGGTGTCCAAAGATTAAAAAACAATCTATATATAAAATGACTATATACGTGTGTCAAAAACACGTGTTTTAAAAAACAAAACAAAAAAACTAACTTTATCAGGGTTCTTCACTATTGGGGTTTATTTGTGGTAAACTGAAACACAAATTGCAAAATGTAGGAAAAATTAACGAAGCTGTAACTAGCTGGGTTGAAGATTTGTTTTGCAGTTCAGTTTGCATTTCACCACTTAGTGAACATACCACAAAATTAATTTTACATTTTAGACCTATGCAGAGAAACAGAAAACTTCAGGGAGAGTTCAATTATCATGGACTAAATTTTGAAACTCTCTTTGTATTCACATCGATTTCCCCAAAATTCACACTTCAATAAATAACCCTGTAAACATGCCAAAAATAAAGATAAATAAAAATAGACGGGGACTGCCAGAAATAAGTTTACCTCCACCTAACAATGTCTGCTTTATTATATTGGCCTTTAACAAGCAGCATTTGATAAGATAAGGCCAATTAAACATTTCATAATAAAATACATATTTATTTCAAAAACCTGTAAAATGCATTTTTGTTGTTTCTTGTATAAAATAAAACCGTGTGAAAAAAAAGAAACAAACTTTGAATTGTGTTTACAGACAATAGAGATGAGCTCCTGAACAACACAGAGAGCAGGAACTGAGCCTGGCTGCCATGGCGCTCAGTGATTTCCATTTTATGAATGGGACACATCCTTGAATAAATTATGCAGAGAGCAGTCAGCTGGAGTTCATTCTGAGAACGCCTTCTCGCAGCCTAGCTTACTGCAAAAAAACATGAATGAGCTCAGGCCCGTTAGACCCGCCTACCATAAATGGCTGACCAATCCCAGGGAAGAGGAAGCGGTGAACGACGAGCGATTGGACAACCTGCGGATAAACAAGTAATGACTGACTTGTTTCCAGGGTGACGTCGACCAATAGCAGCAGTTTCATTATCATTGGTAGGCGGGCTGTGGGCTCAGATTCATTGAGAAAGACGGATTGTGTGGCGTGCCGTTTGCTTTCCCTTTTTTGTCCCGTTTATGGATGGAGCCAGAGTTCCATTAATGCGTCATATCGAACGTTCGGCTGCTCAGGGCTCTCGCTGTGCATCCATGGAGCGTTCCGCCTGAATGACATAATCTCACATTGCAACAAGGTAAGTAGGCAATAGCTATAGGTGGTTTCAGCGGCCTTTAACGCCTAAGTGCTTATGGAATCTCGTGTGGTCTCCAGGGTCTTATCTATGGATCAGGTGTGCGAGGCCTCGCCTACACTCTGTTCTTGCCTTGTGGATGTATTTACATTATTTGGTAAGAATTACCTCCTCTGTTGATAATGCCAAAAATTTTTTAAAAAGTGTTCAGTATTCCGAAGTGTTAATGGATAAACGAAATTCCTGCAGGAAAAAAAAGTTAATCTTGCAGAGATTTCACATATCACACCTTTCCTGCTGCAACTAGAGTTGGCTTTACTAGTCCCCTCCCCCATCCCGCCTACTTGATTAGTGTAAAAAGGAGAAATATTCCTGTTTAAAACCAATACATATGTAACGTTTTATGGTATGCACAAAGATTTGTAGTCTTATGCAAATATTTTATAATTTTGTAGTTACTAAGGTTTTAGCAGGACATGTAATATTCGTTATAGTGACACATTTTGCATATCTATGTAGCTAATATATAATGGTAAGTGGGAAGTCTAAGATGTAGTGTTTGATATGGCCTTATTAATAGAAGAAAACAAATATAGATGTGATACAACATCTTAAGTTTTCTGCTTATTCATTATAATCCTATATATCTGCATCTAATGTATAAACACTTTTGGGCTAAAGAATCCATTTCTTAATTAACCTGCATACACACTTGAATTCCGAGGGTTCTCCGTTTACTGGAAAGGACGCTATGATTTTCAAAGGAATTTTATTGTCTGATTATTCAAATTTATTGGAATAACTGTTACTACTTTTAGAGATAATTCATCATGGCTTCCACAGAGAGAAACTAGTTTCATTTGCATTTGTGCAAATCTGCTGTAATGCTTGACATGACATTTTGTACATGTTACTGCCAAGAGGCAAGTTCTGTGGATATCCCACACTAAATTAAAGCAGTGATTAATCGACAGTCTATTCCTCAATGGTTTATTTTGCTCAAATACATTTTCTTTCGTGTTTGTGAGCTAGGCAATTACTGCTCTTACAGGCAGCTTCTTGGATAATTTAAAAAGGCCCAATTTGCTCCTATATTGATACTTTTTTGACTTAAATATTATGGTCGTTGAGTGTAAAATGGATGTCTTGCACTTGATAGGCCATGCTAATTTACAGAAGTCGTGTGTTTTTTTTGTTTTGTTTTTTTTTGTTTTTTTTAATGTAATTGCTGCGGCTTCGAAAATCCTCATCCTTGGGCCACATTTTTGCTGGCATTGCATATTATGTCATCATTTTCTTGACTTGATATCTTAAAAACAAGAACAAAGCAGAAGTGGGTGTATTCCCTTTTGGGTTTTGCTTCAAATTAAATGTTGATGTTGGCTTTGACAAATGTTTTATGGCTATTTGAGATAAATTTAAGTTTTTATCTAACTGGGCACCAACCTATTCTGCAGTGCTCTACTGGCTTGTATTAGTGTTTTTTAACTTGTACAAAGACAACTGTTGTCTTTTTATTAGATCTATCAAAATTTACAGTTTAGATTAGCTTTTTTTTAAAAATATATGAACACAATTTTTTTGTGTGTGCTAGCAATGCACTTTGCTTCTGTGCTATATTGCCAGTGTTTCTTGTTATTTCTAGCTCTATCTTCCCAATAACAAGATATATTATATATTATATTATTTATTTATATATCATTATTTATTTATATATATATATTATTCACACACTTTTTATTTTTTTTGTGTGTGTGAAATTGCTTTCCTGCTCAACATCACACTATGGCCTTGTAGTGCAGCTAGTGGCTAATCTGGCTGAGCATAATGGGAAATTCAGTTCACAAACCTCATGTGTTAAAGTTAAACCAAAATTAATCCTACAACCACAGGGATGATTTACTAGCTATATGTATTTGAAGCAAAAAAACAACTAAACCTCTTGTTAGGTTAGGTGGTGCATATTCAGACTATTGTTTTTAATATAAGTGTTCTTCTTAACTTGCCTATCTGTATAGGTTTGTTCATGTAGGGAGTATACTGTAATTGTATCTCTTGCAATCAATGTTCTCAGACAAAGCTAATTTTAAAAGCCCTTGTATAATCTGAGTAGACTGATGCCAAATACGGGAAGCATTACATATTATGTACGTGACCAAACCTGGGTCTGAATTGTCAGGAGTGTATATGGATCTTTCCAACTGGCTTGGAGTGATATCTGCCTCATGGAAGGCCATTTAATGTGAGAATTTTGGGAGTTGTGGTAATGAGCCACCTCCCCTTCGTATTTTATTATTTGCCAAGTGTCGCCAAATTCTGTAGCGTGTACAAGGATTTGCAACAAGAAGAGTTGGACACACAGAAACTGAGGGTGTTGAGGGCCCTGCTCAAACAAGCTTAGATTCTAAGAGGGAGTGGGGGTATATTGGCACAAGATGTAAAGGCAGGATGTATTTTATGTATGTTGGGCAAAAGTAGGCTACCAGAATAGTTTACAATTAAGGGTTAGTGTTTTGGAGAGTTGCAGGAGAGAGGATGTGGGGAGGGAAATATATTTACATGTCAATTGATATTCTTTCCTAAATCTTTTTTTTTTTTTTTTTAATGATCTTTTGAAGGATCTGAGACTGTGTGTAAGATTTTAATGGAGCAAGGAAGGGAGTTCCATAAGAATGGCACAGCCCTAGAGCAGTTTTGAAGGGGGGCATCAGAGGTGCGAGCACGAACAGAGAATAGATGCATCTCTAGGAAAAACAATCACTCACTCTAAAGATATGCTCCATACCCATTTAAAATTAGTAATATATTCTGTTGTTGGACATGACCACTACTGGATTTATTATCTTAACTGGGAATTCTAGATAATTTTGAAACTGGATTCAAGTTTATATTGGCAGAGCTAAAGAAACTTGTTTAATGTGGCTACTGTGGTCTAATATCTGCAATTCTGTTTTCACCATTGACGGTTTAAATATTACACTGTATGTGGTTGCATGGTGTTGCATCATTTTGGGACTAATCTGCGTTAAGAGCAATCTGTTTTTGATATTTGATAATTCAATGATTTTAAATGTGAATAAAATGTAATATGGGGAAGCCCTGTTAGATTTGCTTTCTAGTTAACAGAAAAAAAACACAACTTGATCTCATTAATTTACACAGTTACTTAAGTAGAACTTAGACAAGGAGATCGATAAATGGAGACTGATGATTGGATATGTTCTTTTTCTTGCTTACCACAATCTAGTTAAATTGTATTTTCATCTTTTTCTTTGTTTGTTTGAAATGTGGAAAACCAGACTCTGCCAATTTGTAAAGAAATCCAAATTTGAAAAGGCTTCCCACCCCACCTAATCACTTTTACTATTTAGGCCAAACTCAAAGTTCAGTAGGATAATAAAACCTTTTCAGTTGTTTGCCTTTAATCTTATGGAAAGCCTTTTCCCACTTTGAACAGGTATTTCATGTAAAGTTTTTTGTTGGTTTTATTTATCAATGAGTTTATCACGCATATCAAGGAATCCCTTAACTGTGATCTGAATACTCAGATTAGGCAGGTTTATGCTTTAGAATGGTGTCTTTGGTTGTAAAAACCGTTAACATTTAGGTTGGTGATCAAAGGGGTCAGTGAAGTTGAGGAGGGGGGACATCAGTGAGATTGACCTTCATTCTGTTTTTTTTTTTTTTTTTCTTATTTATAACATCTGAGCATTGTTCACAAAGGTGTATCTGCTGCTTGCTTTCTATATATAATATATATTTATATTTTTATATATATCCTTTCAGAGTAAATAATTTAATTATACAGTAAGCATAGTCGCATGCAGGTACAAACAATCTCACTGACATACACAGCCTCATAAATAATCTCACTGATATACATAAGCTCATTGACATAACACAAGCTCACAGATGCGCACACACATAGGGTCACTGACACACAATCTCGCTGGCACACACAGACAAGCTTATTGGTATACACACAAACGTAGTACAGACAAACTCTGACACGCACAAGCTTACTACAGACACGCTCACTTTCTCTCACACACACTCACATACACACACACACACTACAGACAAGCCCACTGTCACACAAATGCTCACTAAAGAAAAGCTAATTGACGTACACATTTTCCCTACAGAAAAGCTTACTGACATACCCACAAGCTCACTAGCAGGCACACACCCACAATCACTGTCATGGCTGAAGCTTACCTGTTATTGGTAGGTGAAATTACCGTTTTGTGGCCTCTTCCTTTCAGAAAGGTCAGCAAAGTGTGTGGGGGCGGGGCTTCCATCCAGAAGGCTGGGCTTGTATGAGGGGGTATATGGCCGACATTGAGGTAAATCATGCAGGAACACGGACAGGCCCCCCCTGCCGCCAGCAGCCTAACTGCAGCACAGTCCGAGGGGAAAATACTTAAATTACAGGAGCCTGATGATCAGGGCTCTCTATCCCAGTGAGCCAGTCCAGCCTTGCCTTTAACCCTGCAACTTTTAGAGAAATTACAATGTTTTCATTGCGTGAACTCAAGGAAATCTGTCTAGATGAAAATGCTTGTTCTTTGGTAGAACATTGGCTTAAAAACAGAGTATAAATAGTTGTCATAAATGGTAAATTTTCAAGCTAGACAGAGGTGGCAAGTGGTGTCCCTCAGGGGTCTGTTCTGGGACACCTTCTATTTAACATGTTTATAAATGATCTTGAAGACCGCATTGAAAGTCATGTTTCAGTGTTTGCAGATGACACAAAACTCTGCAAAATTAATACAATGTGAGCAAGATATTACTTTGCTGCAGAGGGATTTAGATAGACTGGGGGACTGGGCACTCAAATGGCAGATGAAATTTAATGTTGAAAAATGCAAAGTTATGCACTTCGACGTAAAGAATACACAAGCAACATATAGCCTTAATGGAAGCGAATTAGGGATAACAACACACAAAAAGGACTTGGGAATTGTTATAGACAACAAACTATGCAACAATGTGCAATGTCAGTCAGCAGTGGCTAAGGCCAGTAAGGTATTCTCATGCATGAAAAAGGGCATTCATTCTCGGGACGAGAATATCATTTTGCCTCTTTATAAATCACTGGTAAGACCCCATATTGAATATGCTGTGCAATTTTTGGGCACCTGTTCTAAAGAAGGATATTATGGCACTAGAAAAAGTGCAGAGGTGGGCTACAAAATTAATAAAAGGAATGGAACACATCAGCTATGAAGAAAGGCTAACAAATTTAAACCTATTTAGTTTAGAAAAACGTTGCCTGAGATGGGATATGATAACATTTATACAAATATATTCAGGGCCAATACAAACCATTGTATGGAAATCTATTCACAAACCGGCCTTTAAATAGGACATGAGGTCATGTGTTTAGACTGGAAGAAAGAAGATTTTGTCTAAGGCAAAGGAAAGGCTTTTTTACTGTAAGATGTGGAATTCTCTGCCTGAAGAAGTGGTTTTATCAGAGTCCATACAGATGTTCAAACAGCTACTAGATGAATACTTGCAAAAACAGAATATTCAAGGATATAATCTTTCAATGTAGGGTAATAACTGCTTGATCCAAGGATAACTCTGACTGCCATTCTTGGGTCAAGAAGGAATTTATTTTCCTAGCTTGTTGCAAAATTGTTCTTCAAATGTTTTTTTTTTTGCCTTCTTTTGGATCAACAGCAAAAAACAAATGTGAGGAAGGCTGAACTTGATGGACGCAAGTCTCTTTTCATGTAACTATGATTAAGGCTGCCTCTATTTGCGGAGTACCAGACAACTGCTTCCTGCTCTTTCATGACTTTTTTTTTTTTAATGCTGGACGTCATCACGCATTGCATTGATACAATGCTTAAATATAGGGAAGGCCTAATAATTGCTAACCGCATTTACACATGTGTACAAGAGGTTCCCTCTTGTAATGATGTTGGAGGAGGCGGGGACTGAGTCAGCGCTGAGGAACCTTGTAAAGGGGTTTTTAAACGCTTTGACTGGGGAGGCAGAAGGACTTTATAGCTATTATTTTAATATAATATAACATTGTTATCCCCTCTTTGTTTTGGGGGTTTGTTAAACTGGGAATCTGCAGTTTAAACACTGTGCAAATTTGAGGAATGTTAAGAAAATGGATATAGTTTTTGACTGTACTAGTATCCTACAAATCCGTATACAAGTATGGTGAAATGACGACCATATTGGCTATCTCTGGGTCTAGAGCTTTGAAGGGAAGAAACAGCGTCTTGAAATAGTCTTCAAATCCATCTGAGGCAAGGCATTAGACGCTACTTGCCAAGCGGTATTTACATTCATCTTAATATTCTGATGCCATTCCTTTTTTATAGACTCTGCTTACCAGTAAGTAACCATATTATCTATTTTGATGAATCTCTGTACTTTGCAGTGTACCTACCTGTTCCTTATCAACATTTACTTTCACATTCTTCATGGTAAAGCATATTTGAAGTTTTATTTTTACATCATGTGAACATCTACCTTTTGATCACCCCTGGTATGCTGGATAAAGGCATATAGACCTATATCTGCTTACGGCCTGGTTACATTGCCAACATATGTTACTGGATAATGGAGACTTATTGTGTCATTAATAAATGGTGCCCTTCCATTCAGAGCGTTTGTAGTTATCGGACATCTCTTAATATAGACATATAATATAGTGTGGCTTATTCATTGAACACATGATAGTTGTGATTACAGTTTTGTTAAAGAGTGAAATATACTGCTATGGAGCCAAGAATGAATTTTTGTGTATATATCTCTTGCTTTTAAACTTAATTTCCCGAATTGCTTGCATCTAACCACTTATTCAGAAGTATTTTGTATGGCAATGTCATGAAAATCCAGTTGTGTGTTTTGGTTTTTGTTTTTTTGTCAAAAATAAATCTGTAAATAATACTTTCTAAATGTTTGTGAATTCCTAGCAGCTTATGTAAAATGTTTTTCCCTCCATCATAGACTTTTTTTTATTTATTTATTTATTTTAATTTATTTTTTAGCAGATTACAGAAGACTATTTTCGTCACCTGGCATTTGTGTGTGTGTGTGTGTGTGTGTGTGTGTGTGTGTGTGTGTGTGTGTGTGTGTGTATATGTATGTATGTATATATATATATATATATATATATATATCTCTATCTTGTGACTTTTATGAAAGGTTGCTTTATTTTATGTTTAGTTCTTGTTTAAAATCTTAAGCTTATAATTTTATCTCTGTATTTTCATAAGAGCCCATGAAGACTATAAATCAGTGACTAAACATTGATGAAACTTATGTGTGCTTTTATTTATTTATTTTTTTCCCTTCTCTCTTTTCCTCCCCTACTTCCTGAGAACAATGTCCTTTATTTATTTGTTTTTCACACATCTATTTAACAATGGTTAAACCACTCGTTTTCCTTTATCAGTCAAAATTCTCAGTAGTTACAATTTACAGTTCAATTTTTGTTAAACTATGCTTGGTGTGTCTTAACATAAAGTTGTGTTTAGAACACACTGTTCAAGGGCTTTAACTGTAACGTTTTTTTATGAATGGAGTCTGTTTTTTGTTAATGCAGCTGTAAATCTTTCCTCTTTCCTGTTTTAGAGCCTGGGGAGGTTACATGTTGCATGTTTGTTCATGAAATGGAATAGGGCAAGGGCACATGTGCAGGATTTTTTTTATGAATGGAAAAGCTAAGAAAAACCTGGCTGACTTGAGTCTGGTTTTGTGAAAGGGGCCTTGTACTGAGCCATTAACATGCATACCTGATTTCTCCGTCAACTCAAGCATCATTCAAGAAAGCTGTTTTAGTTGGAAAATAGATATATAATATATCAATCACAAATTAAATTGAAGGATTGTATTTTTATTTAATTTGTGATCTTCTTTACTTCGCTCCTGAATTTATTTTGTTCATTTTATTAAAAAAGGGAATATTTTTGTAAGGGAGAGCAGATTACACCCTAGACCTCCTAGCTGCATAATAGCTTAATTGAGCTTAAGTTATGGTGTTCCTTTTAAAGATAAACTATAGTCCTGAAAATAACAATTGTTAATTTAGGGCTACAGGTTTATCTATATTGCTGTCAGCACTGTCCACCCTCTCTTTTGCATTGTAAAATTAAAGATTACTCTCCTAGTTTCCTGCGCCGGGACTCCTCCATTGCAGCCTCTAATGATGCCAGCAAGCATGCTGATGTCACTTGCGATCTTGTTAAAGGACCACTATAGTGTCCTGAGGGTGCCCCCACCCTCAGGGTTCCACTCCCGTGGCGCTGAAGGGGGAGGAAGGGGTTAATCCCTTACATTTTTCCAGCACCAGGCTCCCTCAATGAGACAGCCATTAGAGGCTGGATTAACCCATAGGTAAACATAGCAGTTTCTCTGAAACTGTTATGTTTACTGCAAAAAGGGTTAAACCTAGCTGGACCTGGCACCCAGACCACTTCATTAAGCTGACGTGGTCTGGGTGCCTATAGTGGTCCTTTAAATCTAATGCTTCTCCTACAGAAGCATTGTATTGGAGAGCAGAAAATGTCAGTCCTTTAATTAGATGCTGCTATTACCAGCATTTGATTGCAGGACCAAGTTTTACTCTGTTATAGAGACAGAAGTGCCTCTAGTGGCCTTCAGGAAGACAGCCAGTAGAGACTTGCTTAACCCATCAATGTAAATATGCATTTAAGAAAAGGTTAAATTTCCCCCATCTTTTCAACCTATTGTGTCAGGAATACATGTGTGCATTGCAGTGTTTAAAGGAATGCTATAGTGTTATCAATACAAACCTACAATTACCATGCTGTGCCATTCAGCATTTCCTTATAGAGAGCTATGCAGAGTGTGAAGATGCTAAATGGCAGTGCTGCACACTGACATAGGAAGTGCCTCTACTGGCCATCTGAGTGACCGCCACTAGAGTATGTTACAAGGCAGCAATGTAAACCCTATATTTTCTCTGAAAAGCCAGTGCTTAAATTGGAAAGCCTACATGGACATGCTATAGACACCAGAACCACTACATTTAAGCTGTAGTGGTTCTGGTGACTTTACTGTCTCTTTAAAGGAACAGGACCAGTGCACCAGAAACACTTCAATTAGATGAAGTTAATGATCCTTTAACCCCTCAAGGACCAAACTTCTGGAATAAAAGGGAATCATGACATTAAACACATGTCATGTGTCCTTAAGGGGTTAAAGTAGCTGTGTTTCAAAATATCCATGCAAAGTCTAGTGCTCTATAAATGATAGACAAAAATCTGGGGTGCGGGGCCTGGGCATCATGGCGGCTAGCTGCACATAGAGTGAGCTCCCAGTTTGATCCACAAACTCTGACTGATTTACTGACTGCCAGTTCGCAACAAATGACTCACCCAGCTACATAACCATAACTGGTGATTCAAGGGAAGATCTTGAGGATTTATGCGACTCACCAGCCTAAACTTTGCAAAGAGAACCCACTGCGGTCTACCGTTGCTGGAACGGGTGAAGCGGCCGATCATTCACTCAGCGCGATGCTGAAATACGTGGGGTCTAACTACCCAGTTAACTCCCCCCTCACCCCCGGACCAGTGGGGGCTATCCCAGTCCTAAGCCTGCCCCACAAAGCCTGAACGGAGAACCCGCAAGCCACACGACACCTTCAAGATGGCCACCGCATTGAAACCCCAGCACAGCCAAACAAGCCTGATAGGTCAGAGCTGGAGAGAGGCCTTTTGATGCTCAGTTCGAGGCAATATGCCAAGCCTTCTGGGACCGTTTTGCGAAGCGGGGACCCTTGTTTACCCCTCCCGAAGACTGCCTGTCAAGCATTAGCTGATGCCTGTTCCTCTTCTTGGCGGGGGCCCCTACTGGAGATCCGTATACCTGTGGGGAAGACCGCCATCTGGAAATCCCGAGACTCTCGATCCTGCCACTCTGAGAAGGGGGATCCACTGACTAAGGGCACTGGCTCCCTTTAAGGCCCGGAGCCGAAGAGACAGGGACTTGTCACGCTGCAAAATGCTGACAACTCGCTTGCTGCATGTGCAGTGCAGCCTGACTTTCCACATGCTGGAGAAGGGGACCAATACACCCAACCTAAAGATGGACAGTCCACTGGGGCATGCACGGGGTATTGGTTGAAGATGGCTATCAATGCCTCATTCAGCTCCTTTCCTGTTGCCTGGCAAACTGTCTGATTTTATGATAACCTAATGTGAACACACTGGTTCTTACCTAGCTTGTGGCTTAAATATGCTCACAACACAGATGGCAATGTTAACCTTTTATTTTAGCTTATGTCATCGTTTTACCTTGGATGTTGACGCTCACGTATTTACAAGCAACACAGTGGCTACTATCTCTTGACACTTGGGTAGACCCTCTTCTTTTCTGTTAAGATTGCTAATTATGCTTCCTTAGACTAACTGTGCTGCCTGACAACCGATCTTTGACACACACTCAAGCTATCCTGTAGCAGCCTGTCCACCAACTACCTTGCATTACACACAGTGATCTACCTAATTATTAGCCTGTTTCTCTCACCATGCTTATTACTAAATATAAAAAATTATGCAGACCCACAGCCACAATGTTTTAAATTTTATGTGTGCTAATGCTGTTGTGGCAAGGCATGCCTGTAATGTAATATTTTGAGCACGACAAAAATAAAGAATTTATTCCGTGTCCTTGCACATAGTTTTCACTGTGGGCAGCATGCAAAGCATTCTCATTGTGGTTTAATTGATAGAAATGGGAAGTTCTGCAGTGTTACATTGCAAGATAGAGCAAGTGAGTGATGGATAAACTTGAATGAAAGGTAAATGTCTTTTAGAAAGTAAGTTTCGGAAAATGTTTTGTGTCTACCTCTCTCCCCCCCCCCTCCCCCCCAAATGTTTAACCCCTTAAGGACACATGACATGTGTAACATGTCAGGATTCCCTTTTTATTCCAGAAGTTTGGTCCTTAAGAGGTTAAAAAGAAGCCCTGGAACTATTAAAAAGGTGGCTTGTGAGTACTTGCTGTTTCGGAGTCCTGCTTCTAGCCTCCATAATTATTTTGTGTGTATGTATTGACATTGCTTGAAGGAACTATATATTGTAGTGAAGGCCAGGAGTTCATAGCAATGATATTCTTCAGTTGGTATGCTTCAGATGTCTCTCTATACACCCCTCTCTTTTTTTTCATTAAGTAGTTTTTGGGGTTCAATAGGTGGCCCTGTTTCTTGCGTAATGCCAGATAACTGATTATTTATTTGTCTGGGTGTCTGCGTGTGGTTTTGGGAATGGTAAGGCTTAATTAACTTTGTTCTAGTTATGTATTCCATATCCATGAGCTTTCTTACATCTCAGGACTTTTTCATGTCCACAATACTGTGGTTGATGGAGTTTACTTGACCTAATTGTATGCATTGACACTGCAATCCCTGAGTACTTTAAAGGACCACTCTAGGCACCCAGACCACTTCAGCTTAATGAAGTGGTCTGGGTGCCTGGTCCTTCTAGGGTTAACCCATTTTTAAATAAACATAGCAGTTTCAGAGAAACTGCTATGTTTATCAATGGGTTAAGCCTTCCCCCTAATCCTCTAGTGGCTATCTCATTGACAGCCACTAGAGGCGCTTGCGTGCTTCTCACTGTGATTTTTCACAGTGAAAGCACGCCAGCATCCATAGGAAAGCATTATGAATGCTTTCCTATGTGACCGGCTGAACGCGCGTGCAGCTCTTGCCGCGCGTGCGCATTCAGCCGACGGGGCGGATTGGAGGAGGAGAGAAGGAGGAGAGCTCTCCGCCCAGCGCTGGAAAAAGGTAAGTTTAAACCCCTTTCCCCTTTCCAGAGCCGGGCGGGAGGGGGTCCCTGAGGGTGGGGGCACCATCAGGGCACTATAGTGCCAGGAAAACGAGTGTTTTCCTGGCACTATAGTGGTCCTTTAAGGTTCTGCACTGTCCTTGTTTCTCTAATCTGTTTATGTTGCAATAGCAATTAAACATTTGTGTCTGTGTTTGCAAAGAACTTAAACTAGGTAACAGAGTGAGCAGGATATTGCTTATCTACAGAGGGATTTGGACAAATTAGTGGACTGGTCTGTCAGGTTACCGATTAGATTTATTTTTTTTTTTTATGTAGATAAATGCAAAGTTATGCATTTTGTCCTGTAGAATGCCCAAACCACTTGTACTCTAATTATACTTTTGTTTGGGGAAAATAAGTGAGAAGGCATTGGAAATGGTTAGACAGATTGGGCTATGATGTACAGTGCTAGGCAGAGGATTCTAAGGGAAAGAGTTTTCTTTCTGGAGGGACTGTATGTGAGAGTTTGACTTTATAAACTTGAGCCTTTTCAGCCTGTATTGTTATACAGTATAACTATGTACTGTTCCTTGCACTGTATTCATTACATGGGAAGAAGTTCGCTGACATACGGAAATATCTTCTGTGTGCAGTGTTCCTGTATATACTGTGATTGAATTTGTGTTATTATTTATTGGCATTTAGTGAGTGTTGTGCTAAGGGTTTCAAGGTGACTGGGTTAGTTATGTCACTACATGTATGAGTTTTGTGACCACTTAATAAAATTTTTAGATAGAATTTTCTTAATGGGGTGAAAAGATTATTGCGCTTTCTAAATTCCCTTTTGAGTTCTAATTTTATACATGCTAAGCTATCATTTTGGCAAATTGTAAGAATGTGTTGAAAGCTAAATATGCTAAGTTAACAAATCTGGCTTTTTATTTTTTAATTGTGTGGGGTTTTTTGTGTATGATTTTATTTTTTTTAACATTATTCGTAATCCTTTAAAATTTTGTGCAGTACAGATTTCAACAGCTTATTGCTCCCATCCCACTTTCTTCTTCTTCTTCTCCCTTTGTTTGAGGCTTATGAAATTTAAATTAATAAATGTGTACCTCTTCTAGTATATGGCAAGCTTTTGATCCTAATTAACTTTTTTTTTTTTTTGTTAATTTTTTTTAAATTTTTTTTTGCAATAGGAAGATTTGAAAGTTTCACAGAGTGCTCAATGCTGAAGGCAGAACACTTGAACTACAATGGACTGTTTTTATGACCAGCAAGTCCCTTTTATGGCTCCAGGGGTGAGTTCCTACTTTATTTCAGTTGGTAATAAAAGTTTATGTAGCTTAATAAATTGCTATACCCATTTATGTTGGCCTGTTTTTTTTTTTGTTTTTTTTTCAGAAATAGACAACAGTTCAAGTGGTATAATTGGGCACGATTTACAATATATATTGATCTTATGTAGTTTAGATGTCCCCGCAGCCTCTTTTCCTCCACCTCCATCTCCGCTTTAATTTAAAAGCCTGTGACTGAGAGTGTTAGCTCACACTCTCAGCTTATTTGAGTAATTAATTTGTGTAAAAGCTGAATTTGATTTGTCTTCAATTCAGAATTTTGGTAGTTATCTAACCCACATCCTGAATGTCCTGTTGTAATGAAACCATGAGATGTTTCAGATGCAAGGTGCATCTTTCTGACATCAACTTCCTTTTGTTAATTCACAAAACACAGGTCTTAATGTGTGTGTGTTTTGTATTCTTGACATTCTGAACAGATCACCCAACTGTAATTATTTTTTAATTTATTTACATCTTGCACCAACATGCAATGAGCCATTAAGTACATAATAAAATAGAGACAAGATAAATAACAGAAGCATCATTTCATATAATACAACGTCCAAGATAGATGGTTTGAGAGGGTTTTTTGTGTATATATAATTAGTTATGTAAGCTGATGCAGGATAGGAGGGTCAGATTGGCCATCGCATAGTGAGACTGGAATTCCAAGCCTTTTTTTTTTTTTTTTTTAATGTGGAAGTGGGTTGTCTCACTGTTTAGGATCCCACCCACCAGGACACCTATATGTGCTGGGCTGCAGGTTTTTTTCTGCCATATTGAGTGTTAGGTGGCCATGGATTGAATATTCTTGATACTATTAACTGGCAGTAGTGTATGGGGCTAGTAAATCATTTGAGAAAGTGAAGATTATGTGATACACTGCTGTGTTGACGTGTAAAATAAGCAATTATGTCTGGCGCTCATTAACCTTTGAGCTCCAAAAGAGGGTATGGGTAACTCCGGTGACATTGGCTAGGGATGTAATGCTTTATTGTTATTAGAATGTTTGTTTTAGTATAAATAAGTAGTTCAAAATAAAACCGTAACATACCAATAAGATAAATGTAAAATAAAGGTAAATGGTGTTAGTTTGGTGGTACTCCAGCCAGGCTGCTCAATTCTGCCCCGATGCGTCAGCCTGTGTCCGCAACGGAGCAGGGCACGAAGGGGACTATGTTGGGTACGTCCCATGAGCAGCCAGGAGAGGTATTGGTGGAGACTGGTTTATCCAGGACCAGTCTACTGAGTAAGGAGCCGGAGTCATCAGTCACTAAGTGGGCTCTCCTTATGTGGCAATCTACATAGAAGGGGCCAGCATGACTTCAAAGTGGAAGGGGGTCTGATTGAGCGCTGTCCTAACCGCCAGCTTAACCTGAATGGATTGAAAGCAGAGGAGAACATCACGGGAGCCCTCCGCTGGAGCTCTGGGGGATTTGGGAAGCCTGTGGGTACCTTCCATTGATGCAGTCTTCACCTGCCTGGGATGGACTAATGTAGATAGTAGGCGTTGGATGAATTGAGACAGTTCACTGTCATCGACAGTCGGCTATACCTCTAATTTTGATATTCGTATGTTGTCGTCTAGGCTATCCTTTGGCCCTGGAGGGCTTGATATGAGGACCGTAGGCATTGTAGCTTCTCCTCTGTACCTTGTTGGCGTTGAGTCATGGAGGTGACGTCCTCTTCAGTAGCCCTCACCCTGTCCGTGACCGTTATCTCCTCCAGTGGTGCGCAGATTTTTCAGGATTTCTCCTTTAGTAGCTGGAGCTCCAAGAGGCAGAATAGATAGTGGGTCAGTAGTCTCTGATGCGCATTAAGGGTCTGGGTTCGCTGCCATTTTAGATTTAGGTTGCGCCAGAAAAAGATCGCCTATTCTCTGGGTTCCTACTTCTGGGTACGTGTATATTATTTATTTTTTTTAAATTTGTTTGTTGCTGGGTACAGGGGTCTGACTTTTTTTGTCAGATTGCCGTCGGTTGTATCGGGTAGATATAGCAGCTATGGTTCTGGAGCTCTGCAGACATGTAACTGCTTCCAGCGAGATCAAAGCCATGCTCCCCCACCAATTGTAATTCTGTTTGCGTGACACTTTCACTTCTTTGCAATGGATAATAAGTACTACGAAGTGTTAAAGGAATACTATAGTCACCAAAACAACTTGAGCTTAATGAATCTGATTTGCATATAGATCATGCCCCTGCAGTTTCACAGCTCTGTTTTCTGACATTTAGGAGTTAAACTACTTTTGTTTCTGTCTATCAAGCCTAAGCCACACCTCCCACCAACTGTGACTGCAGCCTGCATAAAAAAAGGGGTGTGTGTGTGTGTGTGTGTGTGTGTGTGTGTGTGTGTGTGTTTTTTTTTTTGTTTTGTTTTTTTTAACTTTCAATCGGATGCTAACTTATTCCAGATTTTTTTTTTTTTTATTTACTGCTTTGTAAATTGAACTCGAATTACACATAGGACGCTCCTTCAAGGTCCAGCAGGCTATTAACCGAGCAGGAGAATAAGACCTTGTAAATTAAAAGGCTTGCAATCAAGGAAATTTAAAAAAATTAGATGACTCTTTACCGGAAGTGTTTTGGAAGGCCTTGCAAGTCAAATGCAGGCCGGAGTGGCAAGGGCTGCATAAGCAAGGTGATTTTACTCCTAAATGCCAAGGAATTGAGCAGAGAGACTGCAGGGGCATGATCTATATACCAAAAATATACAAACCAACATTAAAAGGAATCCATGTTTGAAATGGAATGAGGCAAAAAATGTGATTCTTTGTTAAACTAATTTGCATATGCCCAACCATAATCGTTTGCGGTAGTGACATCACTGCAGATTTGGGATTTCTGTGGGAAAAGCAAGTCTTATGGCTTGACTGGTGTGCAGATTTTTGTTTCACATTGTATTAACTATCCACAGACTTCAGGTGGAAGGGGTTTTCAATCACAATTTTTCCCCACCATAACCTATATGGATTTTGCTTCATTAAGCTAAAGTAGTTTAGGTGACTATAGTATCCCTTTAAGTCTAGAAACAAACTAATCTAAAGAAGGGCCAGGAAAATAGTCTAGTCCAGGGCCTGTCAAATCCCAGGTCTCAGTGGTGACTAAGAATTTTGCCATTCCGCCTGGAATTTATCAGTCTGTTCAACTGCTGAGGGAGAGTGAAGCAAAGTGGTGAGAGGTAAAAGCCGGCTCTTCTTGCTCTGCTTCCTTGCATGCCCTGCTGTGAAGCCAGCATCCCTAAACGGAAGTGCAGAGCAAGAAGAGCTTAAATATTTCAGCAGCCACACTGTACGCCAGGAAAAGGATCCACTTCAGCTCTCCCAAAGGTAGGGAATCTATAATTTGTGTGTGTATATGATTGCATTTTTATTTATTTTTTTTGCTCCCCCAGCCCACCTCCCCATCATTCTGCGCCAATTGGCATTTTTTTCAGAGATGCATCTCTACGGAGGAACATTCAGCATCTCCAGTCCAGTGCTTCCTGAGTGCCTGTCACTACAGGTGTTAGGCAGCAATGTAAACATTACATTCTCTGAAAAACCAGCGTTTTACATTAAAAACCCTGCAGTTACAGACTGTAGACACCAGAACCATGACATTAAGCTGTAGTGATTCTGGTGACCATACTGTCCCTTTTTTTAAAAAAAATTATTTTTGTAATTTATAATATTTTTTTGTTGCGTTAAAAAAAACAAAAAAAGTAGCTCCTAGATTACAAGCAAATTTGTCACGTCCTTGTCTAGCCTATAAAGTTACAATGAGTATCAAACTGTAACAATGTTGCCAGCATAGTTTTGGGGAATCTTCCTCTAAACCCACTTCACACCCCCTCTCATAGAAACATAGAATGTGATGGCAGATAAGAACCATTCAGCCCATCTAGTCTGCCCAATTTTTTTTAAATACTTTCATTAGTCCCTGGCCTTATCTTATAGTTATGATAGCCTTATGCCTATCCCACGCATGCTTAAACTCCTTTACTGTGTTAACCTCTACCACTTCAGCTGGAAGGCTATTCCATGCATCCACTACCCTCTCAGTAAAGTAATACTTCCTGATATTATTTTTAAACCTTTGTCCCTCTAATTTAAGACTATGTCCTCTTGTTGTGGTAGTTTTTCTTCTTTTAAATATAGTCTCCTCCTTTACTGTGTTGATACCCTTTATGTATTTAAATGTTTCTATCATATCCCCCCTGTCTCGTCTTTCCTCCAAGCTATACATGTTAAGATCCTTTAACCTTTCCTTGTAAGTTTTATCCTGCAATCCATGAACCAGTTTAGTAGCCCTTCTCTGAATCAAATGTGTTTCATGGCCAGACCATTGATTCCTTTTGTGTCTGCGAGGGAAGGGCTTTGCTTGTTGGCTGGCCATCTCTGTTAATGTTTCAGACTGTTGGAACATTGATTAACTAACTGAAAGGTCTGTTAAGTTAATGTGGAATTGGCAACTGTAAAACTACCTGCTGGATGTTCCATTTAATCCTTCCTTTAGCATTAACTACTACACCAACTGTGCATGGACTATTTTAAGTAATTGGAGCAAGTCAAAGTTAGGTATGGTACTCAAACTCAATCGTTGTTTACTCTTATTTACAGAAGTCTTTAGAGGATTGTAGAAATCGACCAGTTGGTGATCGTAAAAGAAGATATGTGGATGTAAATTTGGCACATGATTCTGAAGGTACGAGTGTTTATTGTTGGCTAAGCTTAAATTCATAAAGTAGTGAAAACCATGGATGGTGTTCTCCTATATTTATGTATAAATCGGGGGTAGTCAACCTTTTAATACCTACCGCCCGCTTTTGTATCTTTGTTGATGGTAAAATGTCCTTACCGCCCACCAGTGCCACAGTAACTATTATATAGTGTGTGTGTGTGTGTGTGTGTGTATGTGTGTGTATATATATATATATATATATATATATTGTTTTGTGTGCGGTAGGGTGCAGTGTGTGTGGTGGGGGGGTAGGGTGCAGTGTGTGTGGGGTGGGGGGGTAGGGTGCAGTGTGTAGGTGGGTGAGATGTGAAAAATCTATCTTAATGTCTCCCCCTGCTTTCTTCTTACCTTTTACCAGGGAGGGGGGACATAATGCAAGCCCTGGTTGTCCAGTAGTGGCATGTTCACTTTAGCCTGCTGCTCCTTCAGCTACAGGCTGACTCTCCTGTCCTCCTGCGAGAACAGCACTATATCAAAGCATTGCCATGGTAATACGTGGCAACGTTCCGACCAGCCTGCTCGTGGGAGGAACACAAAGCCTCCCAGGCCCTTCTCTCTCTCTGCTGGAATGAAGTGGCAGCGGGACGGTTAGGGAGATCTTTAAGCTCATCAACGGGGAGATGAAATTCTCTCTGCCGGCCCACCAGGTGTTTTCTGCAGAACCCTCTACCGCCCACCTGAAATCCCAAGCCGCCAACTAGTGGACGGTAGGGACTAGGTTCACTACCCATAGTATAAAGTCTCACTATTCTGTATTCACATTTTTTTTGCTTTTCCATTTTTGGCATCTGAGGCTTTATAGTTGCATCTGAGCTGAGGACTGGTTCATATGTGCACACATTTTAATTTGTAACGTGTGGTTTTTTAACTTATCTGAGCACCAAGATGCAATGGACTTGTTTAGGATGCCAGTCTGTAACAAGCATATATGACTTGTGTATTGGATTTATAAATGCCCTAATTGACAGTCAAGCATAGACTATGGTGTGTTACAGAACTTTGTCAGTGGAAAATGGTACATTCATTGAGGTAATGCGATTTGTTATAATATAATTAAAATACACCTAGTGTTTGAGTTTTTAAATTTGTATCAAAACTCTTTATTATGACGTGTCAAGTTAATTTGTCTTGTATTAGATGCAAATCTCCAATTGAAGAGTTACTGTGATGTTTGCTAGATAATTGTGTTAAAACTTGTTTGCTTTTAAAGGGGTCACTCTGTACTCTAAAAGTTAATGTCCATTAAATATGTTTCCGGTGCCATGAGCACCAAACCATTTTGAAGAAATCTTTGCAGCTAAAACTCTACCCCTCCCCTAACATGGACTGCAGAGGTGGAGGTTTTACTTCCTCAATTTTGTTCAATGTTACCATTATGCTGTGTTAACAGATGCAATGTAAATGTGTTCTCTATCAATCTATGGTTCTATATAGCACAAAAATCAATTATAAAAAAACATTTGTATGATGCATGTTTTGGTATACAAATATTGTTGGACATCAGTATAGTATAACCTAAATATATAATGGAATCCATTAAATTTTATTTTCTGCTGTCCAGTTCAAGTTGATAAGTACCCCTGAGTTTCCAAAAGCATAGCTTATCTTTGTCAAGTTTCCTGTTTAATTTTAAAGGGTTAATATAGGCATCAAAACAACTTAAGCTTTATGAAGCAGTTTTGATGTGAAGATTATGCCCCTGCAATCTCTACTCAATGTTCTGCCATTTAGGAGTAAAATCACTTTGTTTCTGTTCATACAGCCCTAGCCACACATCTCCTTGCTTTGACTAATGCAGCCTGCAAGAAATACATGGTTTCATTTTCATTCCGTTAACTTGCTTTTGAAGTTTTAATCCCCTGCTTTGTAAATTTTGCTAACCAGAGGTTCATGTAGGCTCAAGCAGGTTATGGCTACTAAACTAATTCATGGATTACAGGATAAAACTTACCCGGAAAGGTTAAAGGATCATTTATAGCTTGGAGGAAAGTCACGACAGCGGTGTGTAATAGAAACATTTAACTCCATAAGTGTAACTATATTTAAAGAATTAAAGATACCACAACAAGACTACATAGTCTTAAATTAGAGGGGGAAAAAGGTTTAAAAATATCAGGAAGTATTAATTTACTAATTATTCATTTGAGATGGTAGTGGATGTATGGAATAGCCTTCCAGCTGAAATGGTAGATGTTAACACAGTGAATGAGTTTAAGTATGCATGGGATAGGAATAGGATTATCCTAGATATAAGAGACTAATGAAAGTATTAGAAAATTGGTAAGACTAGATGGGCCTATGGTTCTTATCTACACACCACAATTACCTGTTGGAAGAGAGTAACCATTTATTTGGCCTTTGTTGGTAAAATTTGGGAAAACCTCACAAGTAGACTTTGTTTATAGGTATTTAAATTGTGCCAATTATTTGCTTATCTATTGCGTTACAAAATATAGTGACTATATACTAGTCTGCAATAGGATATAATTCTGATGCAATCTATGTTGAATGACTATAGAAAGAGCTAAGTTTTCACTGTAGTCAGTATGCCTCTAGGAAGTAGCTGATGGTTGCATTGTCTACAAAGAGACATGCGTCCATAAAGTTCAGCCTTTCTCACATCTGTGTTTGCTGTTGATCCAAGTGAAGGCAAACCATGCAGTTTGAAGTGCTTTCCACTTTTTCCAGTTTTGAAACAAACTAGGAAAAGAGTCCTTCTTGACAGTCTGATCTCTACTCGGGTCAAGGATCTAGAATAATGAAGTCAGGTGGGCTCAAATAAGAAAGGAACCAGTGAGTGGTTTAATTTTGATGCGTAAATTGCAAAGTCTGAATATTTATGTACCTCGAGTATAAGTCGAGTTTTTCAGCACATTTTTTGTGTTGGAAAAACCTCCACTCGACTTATACTCGAGTTAATGTCTGTATTATGGCAACTTACATTGCCATAATACAGACCCGGACCGCCGGGCTCATTACAAGCCCGGCGGTCCTGTTGGGGGCTGGCAGTGAGCTGTTACTTACCTTTCCTGCAGCTCCCTTCTCTCTCCTCCGGTTCGGTCAGCTCCACTGTAAATCTCGCGAGAGCCGCGGGGAACGCTCCGCGAGACTTACAGTGGAGGAGAAGGGAGCTGCCAGGAGCTACAGGAAAGGTAAGGAACAGCTTGCTGCCAGCCCCCCTCCTACACAGTGCACACCACTGGACCACCAGGGAATGAGAGCCCCCTTCCCTGGCCAGCTAACAGGCAGGGAGGGGGGATGAAAAAAAATATAAATAAAAAATGTAATATTAAAATAAAAAAATATTAATAATTTTAAAAGATAATAAAAATGCCCGCCCCCCCTCCACGAAGGCTCTGCATCACATATATATATATATATATATATATATATACACACACACACACTGCACTCATACATACATACATACATACATACATACATACATGCACTCGTGTTTATATACACACACACATACTGCATTCATTATATATATACACACACTGTAAATAAATATTCAATAAATATAATTTTTCAGGGATCTAATTTTATTTAGAAATGTACCAGTACCTGCTGCATTTCCCACCCTAGTCTTTTTTTGGGGTAAAATTAGGGGTCTCGACTTATATTTGGGTCGACTTATACTCGAGTGTATATACGGTACTTTAAAAAAAAAAAAATGTTTTTTTTTTAATTGGTTTTTATTTTTTATATTTTTTTTTTTTAGAACTGTTTCAAGATCTAAGCCAGCTACAAGAGGCATGGTTGATTGAAGGTAAATATTCTGTTTTTTTGGTTTTTGTATTTCAAAAATGTCCACCTCTTCTGCAGTTTGTGTATATTATACTGTTGAACCATGACTTTTTCATTATTTCCCTGAATAGTTTATATCCTTTTCCCTCATCTTTAATCCTAAAAAAAACAACCCTTAAAAAGAGATATATATATATATATATATATATATATATATATATATATATATATATATATATATATTCTCACCCCTCCTGGGTGATATGTTTATTCCTTATTCTCGGGTCCTCTACCAGACGCTTGGGAGTTTAAGGGTTCTGCGCAGTATCTTAGCGGTTCCTAGAACTGCACTCTTTTGGACAGCGATCTCAGATGTCCCACCTGGAATCTGTTGAAGCCACTCCTCCAATTTGGGAGTCACAGCTCCGACTGCTCCTATCTCAACTGCCTTCACTTTCCACATCCTTTCTAATTCTTTTTTCAGTCCTTGGTATTTGTCTACCTTCTCCTGTTCCTTCTTCCTGATGTTATATTCACTGGGTATTGCCACACCCACAATGACTACAGTCTCTCGTTCCTGGTCTTCCACCACGATGTCTGGTTGGTTGGACAGTCCCTCAGGATCTTAGCCCTGTCATTCTAATCTACACTTTGTGGTATCTCCCATCTGTACTTAGGCAGGCCCAATCCAATTTCTGTGCAGATGTTTTGGTACACAATCCCAGCAATTTGGTTGTGTCTCTCAGTGTATGCTGTTCCTGCTAACATCTTGCATCTGGCTACTAGGTGCTGGACTGTCTCAGAGGCCTCTTGGCACAGTCTGCACCTTGGGTCTTGCCTGGTGTGGTTCTGTCAATCTGGTGCTGAGTGCCTGCTCCTGTCTGCTAGGATTAGTGCCTCAGTGCTGCCTTTTCCAACCACTGGTAGGATTTTGTAATGTGAGCCACATCCACTATCTGCCGGTGGTACACCCCATGGAGAGGTTCATGGATTGCAGGATAAAACTTACAAGGAAAGGTTTAAGGATTTTAACATGTATAGTTTGGAGAAAAGACAAGACAGGGGGTATGATAGAAACCTTTAAATACATAAAGGGTATCAACACAGTAAAGGAGGAGACTATATTTAAAAGAATAAAAACTACCACAACAAGAGGACATAGTCGTAAATTAGAGGGAAAAATGTTTAAAAATACGATCCGGAAGTATTACTTTACTGAGAGGGTAGTGGATGCATGGAATAGCCTTCCAGCTGAAGTGCTAGAGGTTAACACAGTAAAGGAGTTTAAGCATGCGTGGGGTATGGATAAGGATATCCTAACTATAAAATAAGGCCAGGGACTAATGAAAGTATTTGTGCAGACTAGATGGGTCGACTAGTTCTTATCTGCAGTCACATTCTATGTTTCTATGTAAGCTAATTTATCTCCCAGGAACAGAGCCTAACATAAAAAACTAAAAGTATCCCAAAACATCATAAAAACCTGTTATAACCCCACATATCATACAACCGTGATCTGAGTGTCCAAGTTGTCCACCATGTCAAAGTTCTTACTGGCCGCACACGTGGTTCTATGCCCAAAGTCGTTCCAGAGCAATGTGTGTTTTGGCCAGTCAACTTCCGGGAGCTCCTGCATACGGGGTGCTCCACTTGACCCTCAGGAAGCGTTTGTTCAACTTAGGTGTCTCAGACACCTTTCCTCCAAAAAGAGCTCTTCTGGCGGCTTGCAAAGTGGTGCAAAACCCCGGACCAAGTTGTCTGGGAACCGCAAGGTCACCTTGTGACGAAAACCGTTCCATAACATTTGCGGCTAAGTACCACTGAGGTGACCGGGAACTACGATATCCTCGTGCTGAAATTGGTTCCGTAGCGGTCGCGGCCAAGTACCACTGAGCACCATTCGTGGATTTATTCATGCGAATGACTACCCGGGTGCTTGCCTTTGGTTCAATTCCAGAGAAGGGAAAGTGTTGTTCCGGGGCACCGAGGGAAAGCTGCTTGGAGAGGCCTGACAGGTTAACTCCCGAATGGGGTCTTTGGATCTGGCCCATAGTTCTTGGGCAGGAGGCTATTTAGCAGGAGCTCGTGGCATCTGCACGTTTGCCACAATGTGGTCCCCTTTTTTTTTTTCCAAACCGATATCTGCCATTGAAACCTTCCTGCTTAAAACATAGTCAATAAACTCTCTCTTTATTAATGTAAATGTAAGGGCAACGAATGACTGGTATTTCAATACCCGTTCGTTTGTATGCTTCTGAACTACTAGGGAGTTATTGATTATAGTGCATTTGCATGGAGCGATGATTCGTCTGTTCCCGGAATCCGAGTAGTGCATGAGGGTAAATCCAGTGGTTCGTCGATCACATACCCAAATATCAGTTAAGACTTGATGATGGGTAGAACAAGAATGTGTTTTATTATGGCCAGATGGCCCACTTTTATACAAAGACCCCCAGCAGGGCTCTCAAGCAAACGCATAGAAAAACACTCCTACAACACGCCCAGAACACTCCCACAACACGCCCTTCTGTGTCTGGGAGATAATTTAGTGTACTTTGCCTTAAAACTAATTCTCCCAGGCACTAGAATGACTAAGCATAAAATATTAAAAATACACATACATATAGGAACCCCCACAAATATTGTATCCCTGGATAGCCTGAATCTGAGCGCCCAAGTATTCCAAACCGTGCTCCAATCCCACGAACATAGCCGAATCGCCACCGGGGTAAAGTTTTGACCGAACGCACACGTGGTGCCTGCCCAAATTAGTTTCATAGAAGCAAAGATAGTTGGTCAATTTCAGGCATTCCAAACTAAACAAAAAGATTAACTGTCCCCCTGGCTCATAGGTAGCGTTTGTTCGCCTTGTTCATGCGAACAAACCTACTGAATAGCGCTCTCCTGGCTTGTTGTGGAAAGAAGCAGGCATTCTTGAAGTTTGGCTGGTGTTTGTGAGGTAGTGTCCGACTTGGAGTTCCAGACACTCGATGACCAAGTCCCGCTGCCTGCTTTCGTGCGACAAGATGGCCGACGTTTTCTCCAGCACCTGTTTGGTTTTACGAATGGTGGCCACACAGGGAGCGCACTTAAGTCTGTGGTTTCTTTGAACTTTAAGAGCCAGGGGAGTGGTCGCTGTTCGGTGTAACTTGGGGAATAAAGTATATCGTTTTGTCACAGTAAGTTATGTATAATGAAAAATGTGTTTTTTTTCCACTTGTTTTACAGCGCAAGTACCAGACGATGAACAGCATGTTCCAGATTTTCAGTCTGATAACTGTAAGTACCATTTATAAAAACACTAAGTTTATGGATCAAATACATTCTAGGGATGTTTGGACAAAATGTTAATTTACAATATATACTCTGCTGGGGCAGAGTCTAGCATTCAAGAACGATAATCTATTTTTGTTTAAGTTTACCATTCGGATTTAACTGAAATTCTAAATTTAGTAAATAACAAACAAAATGTTAAAGCCTTTAGAATTGCAAAGATTTTTTGCAAAAGTGACTGCACATGAGGCCCCTTAAGTGTCTTTTTACTCCTTGCACAACAGGGGAGGCATGAGTTTTGCCCTAGGTTTTTTTTTTTTTTTTTTCTTCCTCACATCAGTTTGTTCTGCCAACCTGGTTGGAAAAACATAATTGGAGCTCAAAGATTTTAGATGTAATTCTTGGGATTTGTATTCTGGACTGTAGTTACTTGGTCCTCTGTGGCTGCAGTGGCTAATAAAATCCTTATAGTTCATATTCAAAACAGATTATTAAGATCTCCTCATCTGATGCTTATGTAGTTTTGTAGCTTCACTGCAAAGCTTTCAGTTTTTGTGGATTTTTGCATCTGTAGCTGAAATTGTGATCAGGTAAGATCTTTAAATATAAGCTCCTGGGGAAAAAACCTGTTTAAACCTACACCAAGTGGGGGGGAGGGGGGGGGAGAAAGTATGTAGTTCCTTTCTAGATCTAGATTCTAAGCTTATCTGCATGAATTCACTTGTGGCAGAACCACTTCATAACTATTCTGAATCTTATATGCTTACAAACTCCCATCCATCAGGCTTATCTTTGGTACCTCAGTTTTGTAGAATCTATCTATTCTGTAGCTTTTCCTCATGGTATATTCAAGGTGCCTTTATTTGTCACAAAAGTTGAATACAGATGACCTGTATTGTGGTTGCTGCCTCATCAAACTAATATGGTCTCATAATTACAAACATTGACCTGAATGGCTTGTACCTCTTAGATGAGGTTGTCCATAAATATCCTATAACTTAGGGTGACCTGGTAAGGTCTTTCTGGCATGGCTGTCTCTGCAGATGTTTAGTTCAGACAATCCATATTGTACTTCCTTTTGGATAGGATTGAGCAGGATCTTGGTGCCATTGCTCTTATCTGCCATGACAGACTACTACTCCATTCAGACTCTTTTTTTGTTAAAGTTCTAATTTTAATGAATCTTCTCACTCTGTTTTCTCAAATTGAAAAGATGTTTTGGCATATATGCACTAAATTTAGAATAATAGATAGTAACCTTGTGTCTGAACGTTCATGTCTGTCATGTAACACCCCTATCTTGTTTAGGGTAAGAATAGTCTCTGCTTTGTATGCTTCCTAATGTGGTTTCTCAGGAGATTGTGGTGCTTTCTTTTTATTCTAACTCTGAGAATTAAACAAACTTTTGAATACCCTGACTGTTCTTGGGGACATTAATATCCCATGTTTGAATCCTTTATACACTGTTGCATCCCCCAACCCCACCCACTCCTTTTCTCGAGGTCCTGACCGGGAGATACTATGAAACTTTACCGAGTTCTGATTAATCTTGAAGCTGGTATCCTTAGGTACCCTGACCTCCATATAGAGTGCTATTTAGAGGGGAGGCATCGGAAGATAACTGGGGCTTGAGCACTCCCCTTCACAGAGGTCTGGGACGTGCTCCAGAGTTCCCGGTTAGTAGTGAGGAAGCTGACCTGGTGGAGATACTCGGTTGGAGTGCAGGAGTTCTGTCACAATTATTCATTTAAAGAGCATGTGAAAGCTTCTTACTTGTGGCAGAAAAAGACAATTCTTTTTTTCTAGACATTGGTTTTGTTTACAAAAGTGGTCTCTTCCAAAGAATTGGGAAAAGGCACAGTGATGAATATACTGATTCATATAAGGGAAGTGACACAGATGGGAAAGGTGCCGGGGAAAACGCACACAAACCAAAACCCAATTACTTATTTCTGCAAACAAATCTAACACAGTAAAGATTATCCATGCCTTCAGAAGAAAATTCTAACTTGGTAAGGTGTTCTTGTTGAAGCAGCTAATCGCCAAAAGTTTTGAAATCCTCCCGGGTAACCGTAAATGCACAGAAAAGTATTTACATTTTTTTGGAATGCCAAGGCATGCTTGACATGCTGTAAACGAACCTGGAGATGGTAGGGATTGACCAGTCTGGCTTTATTTGATCTCATAGTCAATGGGCAGATTCTCCGGTTCTAAGTGGTGGGGCCGCTATACACTATCCTGATTTTGTTTCTTGAACCTACTTGGCATTTGTTACCAGAATGCTATAATCTATAAATTGTATCTCAACAGTCTAACAGTCACTGGCTCTAGTGATCACTAAACATCCCAATTCAATAACTGGAATTTCTTGTGTAAAAATTGAGTAGCAACAATACTGCAGCAGCTGTCGATTCTATTCATTCGATGTTATGCTATGAACATCTCTGGAGATAAAATTACTTTCATCCCAATAATCCATGCTAGACATTGAGATAAGGTGGTCTCAGTGTCTATAGTGTCCCCTTTAAAGGGTGTTTGATGGGATAAACAAAAAATGCTATGCCAAATATATGATGTAACCATTCTGTTTAGGAGGCTTGTTTTGTTCTGTTTTCAGCATTTCCCATCTAAGGAAGTAGAAGCAATTTACAGTTCTAGTGAAAGCAGATTGAGAGCGCTATTGGGAATGGAAATTGGACTTAATTAACATTCTTTGCAGTAAAGTACTTTGCAAATATGTTGTCTTAATAGGAGATAGAGTAAACCATCACTTGGCACACAATGTCTTGTGATGACTCATGCAGCAAATGGTACTGCAATCTTAAATCAATAACCTTTGTATTTTTTGTGTAGTAATCGAGCAAGTGTTTTCCCTTGATGCATCAAAATTGGTTGTATTTGCAGCTTCAGTTACCTCGTTAACTAACTGTTTATGGTCATTTCTGGCCTGAAATGCCCTCCCTCCTCCTCCCCCCTTCCCCTCCCCAATCTGAAGTGGGCTCCTTGCACACCTGCCAGTGCATATATTGCCCCTAGCCAAACCTAGTGCTACCAGGTAAGACATCGCCATTTAGTCAGCTGATAAACATATCAGACATGAAAATGTGCCTATACTAAGGTCCAGTCAAGTGAAGATAAAGGAAATCCAACAGGAAGTCAGTGCTAGTTAACAGACAAAAATGTAAGCGGCCAGAAACCCAAATGAAGGAGACCACTCAAGTCCTTCAACAGATAGATAAAGCAATACAAAAAGATGGGGTAGGGCTGCGCCAGTAAAATAATACAAAATAGTCCCAAAAGTCTTACTAGAGCAACAAAAGATCGTCAGGAGTATTGGATAAATTGTAGATGAATAGACTCTTCAGTTTGGATAGGTGCGTTTAAATGTCTCATGGTATTCGTTTATACGGAAGAAAAAAGGAGACAGAGGCAACCAATAGTGTAAGAAGTCTGAAATCCGGAGTGCAGAATAGTAATAGGAGGTAGAACACTCATATTTAAAGGACCACTCTAGGCACCCAGACCACTTCAGCTTAATGAAGTGGTCTGGGTGCCAGGTCCAGCTAGGGTTAAACCATTTTTTCATAAACATAGCAGTTTCAGAGAAACTGCTATGTTTATGAATGGGTTAATCCTTCCTCCAATTCCTCTAGTGGCTGTCTCCTTGACAGCCGCTAGAGGCGCGTGCGTGCTTCTCACTGTGAAAATCAGTGAGAGCACGCCAGCATCAATAGGAAAGCATTATGAATGCTTTCCTATGTGACAGGCTGAATGCGCGCGCAGCTCTTGCCGCGCGTGCGCATTCAGCCGACTGGGCGGATCTGAGGAGGAGAGGAGGCAGAGAGCTCCCGGCCCAGCGCTGGAAAAAGGTAAGTTTTTACCCCTTTCCTCTCCCCAGAGCCGGGCGGGAGGGGGACACGGAGGGTGGGGGCACCCTCAGGGCACTATAGTGCCAGGAAAAAGAGTGTGTTTTCCTGGCACTATAGTGGTCCTTTTAAAGGAGCTATGGCCAGCTCTGGTGTGGAGGGCATAACAGCGGTATAATCCCCGCTTATGGGATATGTGAATAAAGTGCGTCTATCGCCACCGGCTGGTCATCTAAGGCTCCAAGTGAAAATAAAATAAGGCAACAATAGTGCTCTCAATTATGATAAAAGTAAATAAAAATAATACTCACAAGTATAAAACAGGAACACTGCTCTATTGATAAGGCAATGGTGGTATGATCCCCACCTCGGATTTCTTTGAGTAGAGGAACAAAGTAAAAAGCCAGGAAGAGTAAAAATAATAAAAGTGCATAAAGGTACAAAAAAAGAGGATTGGAACAGCAAAGTTACCAAAAAACTTAATGATCTAAAATACACAATATAAAATAACCATTACGTGCTTCACCAATATAGGTTTTCTCAAATGGTATATAAACCATTTTTTTTTTTTTTTTATGCCATTTGAGAGCCTATATTTTTATGCACTTTTATTATTATTTTTACCCCTCCTGGCTTTTTACTTTGTTCCTCTACTCAAAGAAATCCGAGGTGGAGATCATACCACCAGTGCCTTATCAATAGAGCAGTGTTCCTGCTTAATACTTGTGAGTATTATTTTTATTTACTTTTATTTATTTTTAACATAATTGAGCACTATTGTTGCCTTATTTATTTTTCCTCTGAGCCTTAGATGACCAGCCGGTGCTGATAGATGCACTTTATTCGCATATCCCATAAACTGGGATTATACCGCTGTATGCCCTCCACACCAGAGCTGGCCATAGCTCTTTTAAATGTGAGTGTTCTACCTCCTATTACTATTCAGGACTCTGGATTTTAGACGTATTACACTATTGGTTGCCTCTGTCTCCTTTTTTCTTCCATATAAAAGAATACCCTGAGATATTTAAACGCACCTATCCCTACTGAAGAGTCTATTCATCTACAATTTATCCATTACTCCTGACTATCTCTTGTTGCTCTAGTAAGACTTTTTTTTTTTGGGATTATTTTATATTATTTAACTGGTGCAGCCCCACCCCATCTTTTTGAAGTCAAGATAAAGAGCTACAAAAATAAAAGTACAAAGCAAAACCCAAAACATAATCAAAGTTAATTTATAGGCAAAAATTGATCTAGATGGTTTCCCCCTAGACCCAGTAGTCAATACCGCACGAGGGCACTTACAACTAACTCCCTCTTAATACTACTCTCCTGACACCATGATTTTTTTTCCTTCTTTTTCTTTTTATCCCTTGACATAGAAGGAATAATACAAAAACTATTGTAAAATAAAACTTTATTGTTGTGTCTTGTGATTAAATGTAAACCCTATCTTTTTGTATTATAAGGATAAAATGTAATAAAGAATATTAATATTCTACTCCCCTTGCGCTAGAAAACTGAGGCTAATTGTGGAAACTATTGCTGGTGCTCTGACTGGGTCCAATAACTCTGTGGGAGATCCGAAGCCTCTGTGACTGCAGCCTACTTGGGCAGTGAGTGAAGTGGATGACCACTGTGCACTGGCTTATCAACAATACTTGCTTGCCCCCTTCCTACCTCTTTGGACCAGTGGGGGCTATCTCCGTCCCCACTGGAGTGGTTTGATGCTGTTTAGCGGGAGATACTCTGCTCACCCTGCACTGGTGATATACCATGGCCCACGCTTAAAATAGCCGCCAAATGACCACACTGTTACCAGTTTTCAGAATGACTCACTTGTGAAAGCATTCGATATTCTATGATCAAAATTTGGGGATTTGATGCTACAGCGCTCTGCTGCTACGTCCGTCACCTCAGCAGAAGGCGGAGGGCTTTCTGTCTCTCAAAGCACTTAAGATCAGTCCCTGCAGCCACTTATTAGTCCTCAAGCCTTTGGTGGTAAACCTCCACATCTTAGCCCTCAACCTGGGAGGATACTTCCTCCTTCTTAGTGTTTCTTAAATCGGTGACTCTGCATTCCACATTTAATGTTTTTAAAATTATCTATGGCTTATCAGTCAGCATATACACTCCTCTCAACCTTACTGCTTAATAATTCTGTCTATCATGCACATTTCTTATGTGCAATTATTGCTGTGTCTTGCTGATGCCTTATTTTGGTTATTGACACTTATATATCTGTCACGTTTATACAGCTGCTGATTATATTGAATGTACCCGCACAACAAAATTTTTTAAAATAATAAAAATATTACATGATTTTTTTGCCTTTGTTTCAGTAATTCTTCATGGACCACCACCAGCAAAGATTAAACGAGAAATTCATAGTCCATCATCCGAAACAAATGCATGCAGCCATAATGTTCCTGTTCCTGTTTCTTATGGAGAAAAGTGCCTCTATAACCCCAGGTAAGTTGTGGACAGTGTTTTAATTTGCATTTTATGGTTGTGTAGAGCGCAAACTACAGATTGTTAGGAAGGTAATTATTCAGTATTTTATTAATTTATTTTTTAGTGCCTATGTAAGAAAGCCCTCTGTAGGGCTTAAGCCATTTGCATCTACATGTTCAACATCATCTGCCCCACTGCCAGTGTCTGTTAATGCACAATCCTTGGAAATTCCAAATAACTCTATGCATGTCCAACGTGAGCAGAAACAAGAATTTGCAGTTCCACAACCTCTTCATCAAACAAGACAACTACAGAAGAACATGCATGAGAAAGTATATCCTCCAGAATACAAGTGAGTAATAAAATATATTCATATATATTGCCTCCCTGGCTGGGAGTAATTTTTATAGGATTTTATTTAATTTTTGTTTAGACTTTTTTTAGTATAGTTATTTTCTGACGTTCTAGATCTGGCTGATGGTGTTCTTTCTGTTTTCATTTAACTTTGTAGGGAAGTTCATCTGCCCAATACCAATATCTGCTTTTGTCAGGCATATGTAACTCCCATTTGGATGACCTCCAAATTATGCACAAGGCTTTTGCTTCGTCCCATCTGGAAGTGTCATTTCCTGAAGTGGCATACCAGCCAAGGTCTTGTTTTTCATATACAGTGGCAAAAAGATCCTCAGCATGGAAGTGATATAATCCAGGCATGCGGGGGGATCACTTTACATGTCCGAATGGGTGGTACAATATGTCTTGCATTTTTCTCCTGTTTAAACTTTCATATGCATAACTTCATTTTCCCATTATGCATTTTATTGCTAGCTTCACCAGAATGCAGGTATATGCTGGTCAAATGCCATCAAAGCCAGTAATAGTTACACTTTTTTTTTTTTTTTTTTTTTTTTTTTTTGAAAATAGTAGTTACTGGTAACACATTAGTAAGGTGGACTATGTGTACCAGAAACAAACTAGAACAAATGTTTCTGGTTTAACAATTAAAACTGTTGCTTGCAAAAATTTTTTTCTATTATTGCAAATTAACAAAATGGTTGCTTTGTTTTTGTTTAATGCAGTTGGTAGAATGTGTACATTTTTTTTTCTTTGTTCCTCGAGTATTGAAAGGTTGATTTTAAGTAAATCCTCTTTGCTCAGGGTTATTCCAGAATGAGTGGAGTTTGTAAGTTTTTTTTCATATTTGGTCAAATTCTTACCTGGAACTTCTGAGTTCAGGTCTTGTTGGTAGAATCTTAGTTGTGACTTCAGTTTCCCAACAAAGACCTCTGCAGTAATACAAATCTTTGTGATTTGCTCAACATTTTTGTTAGCTAGTAATATTAGCCATACAGGTATTATGGGCAATATTTGACATACTGCTAAGTCAGCCAGATGGTCACATTCAATTTGCCCAGAAGTATAACACGAAGAAAGTATGTAATTTTCAAGAGCCATACTCTTACTGTTTGTATTTATCCAGCTAACCTTGCTGGTCATCTAAATACGAATTGTAAAATAAACAAGTCTCTGCTCCAGCCACCCTAACATATTACAACAACCATTATGGAGCTAGTGCATGAACAACTGTGGGACGGTACACTCTTAGTTCACCAGCTTTTTTTACTTTCCCAGATTTCAGAGGCAGATGTCTGAACCCTGCCAATCTTTTCCTCGCTTCCATGGTGTCACAGGAGAATCCCGTCCAGTGTATCACAGACAGATGTCTGACCCTGTTCCTGCACCCCCACTCACATCAACTCATCAAGGCTTCAAACAGGAGTATCGCAGTCATGTTTATGACCAAGACATGAATGCCCCTTTAAGGCGCAATTTCCATGGAGCTATGGGGATTAAGCAAGAACCTCAGGATTACAGTATTGAATCAGGTATTCTCTATTATTACTTAGTCTGTGTGTATTTTGACATTACGCAACCTTTTTGGTAATTCTAGTGCTTGCTAATTGTAAAGAGGTAATATTGCTAATCATTGGGTAAACCGGATACACTATCTAGTACAATGGCCATCCTAAAACCTGGGGTTCTTGGACACGTGTCATGTCATCTATTTTTGTTCTCGATTGATCCCCATCGTAAGCAAAATGTGCTGCTATGCCATGTGTGGTTTCCATGTGCTTTCTGTTCAGTGTTCTGTACATTTTCAGTTGTCACTGCAAAACTATAAGTGATCCCAGCTAGGAAAATTTTTTTGGTAATCATTGAGTAACACTTGAAAAATAATACAAAATATTTAATGACATGTTTGTGTTTTAAAAAATAAATAAAATTTATGGATTTCCTATTTTACTTTTTTTTTTTTTTTTTCCTGCAATACAGTGTTGGTTCATGGAATATTTTATAGTGTCTCATTTTTATTTGAATAGAAGTCATAGTACACCTTGTACCCGGTCACTGACATTAAAGCCTGCAAATGAAAGACTTGTCTGCAAAGTACTTGTCCTATGATGCTATTCGACCTAGTTAGTATTGAAGATTATATTTCTTTTTTTAAATCAGGCACTGAGCAGATGTTAATGTCTCTAAGCCAGCATAAGCTGTTCAGCATTTTCATTCAGTTCAGTGCAAGAGGGATATTTCTGAGTGTGTGTGTGTGTAATATCTAATGGCACTTGCAAATTACATTATTTGAATCAATTTTTCATGTGTTGTTTTTTTTTTTTTAGTCATTGTGATTGCTCTTATTACCAGCTCTCGACAAAGTAACAAGCAATGACACTCTTGGAGTTGCTTCAAAACAAGTGTCTTGTATTTCAATTTCTAGTTTTACGAATTGCAAAATCACCTCTTTGTTTAGTAATTCATGTGCTGGAAGTTTAAAAATTGTCCCAGGATCTATTTTTATAAACTGAGTGTTGTACAAGACTTTTGTAAACCTTTTTGAACAGCCCACTACTGACACTTTCGTTCTTTCACATTTACTTGTATGTCTACTTAAAAGCACACGCTAGTCACCAGAACAATTACAGCCTAATGTAGTTGTTCTGGTGAGTATAATAGTTCCCTTAAGTCTTTTTTTCATGTAAACACTGCTTTTTTAGAGAAAAGGCAGTGTTTACATAGCCTCTATGGACACCTCCAAGTGGTCACTCATCAGATGGCCACTGGAGGGGCTTCCTGGCTCAGTGATGGCGAAAAAGCAGCTCTGCTGTTCAGCGTCCACACGCTCTGTATGGAGACGCTGAATTTTCCTGGCCAATCTGGGAACTCCTGATTTGGCCAAAACCGCACTTGGCCCCGCCCCGGTTTTAGTCAATCCAATGCTTTTCTTTCGGAAAAGCATTGGATTGGCTAAAAATCAGCCATTTTGATGTCACAAAGGGGGGCAGAGCCAGCACACGGTGCTGGAAAGGTGAGTTTTAAACTTTTAAACAAATTTGTTTTCCTGGCTCTATAGTGGTCCTTTAACGTTTTGAAATAGCAACATAATTTGTACACACATCTGGCATTAACTAAACAGTTTATTGATGTGGATGGGTAAAGGATCGATACAGATCATTGGAAACCAATAATTACTCTATCCCTATTATGGTGCTTGACCTTATCCCATAAACTCCTGTCCAGTACAGCAGCAGTTTCACTTATTTAATAGGATAAATAAAACGGCATATAGAGAAAGACAATCCATTTCTTATGCAATTTGTTTATAAACAGTTTGCAAATGGCTCTGTTGTCCCTCTGTAGTAAAACTGTTCTGGTGCATAGAGTCCATTATTAATCTCGACAATACAGTATGTCACAAAATTGAGGCTAATTTTGAGGGGCCCCCCCCACCACCCAAATATTTTTACATTTGTAAGAAACCCTATTGCATAATGCATTGTTTAACTGTTTCGATGTCAATGCCAGATCTAAAAGGCCAGAAATGGCACACTTTATGGTAAGTTTGCTGCGTAGATGTCCTATCTGCCAATGCAGGGCTTGTACAGCAATTTAAGGGTCACATATGTCTTCTAATATTATATAATAACATGTATCAGTTTCCTACAAGAAGTGATTCCTTTTCTAGAAACACCAAGAGATTATCCTCTGGTGTTCTTGGAAAATTAGCAATGCCCCCCTGTTCTTTTGTAACATTTTATTAAATTGTCCTGATTGAAACTGCAGCACAGATTGCATTGTTTCTGTAACCAATTTGAGTTGCTAACAAAATTTAATTTGGCATATTCTGACTGCCTGGCATATGTCAGTGTAGGAAGAATGATCTGTTTTTCATAAGGCCAAATGCTTCACTCTTCCATATAACGGAAAGGGGGTTAGTGGGATCTATTGTTTTATTTTATTTTTTTGGTGTTTTTTTTTTATTTTTTTGAAGGCTGCAAAATGCATGGAGTCACTTACTTTTATAACTGGAAGTAAAGAAAAGTACCTTCTGTTTTTGTGAATAGTATTTGTTTGAATGTTTGTGTCCAATAAATGTGCCCTTTTAAAATGTTTGAATAAGTGATTTATATCATGAGAACTATATATATCAGGCTGTTTTGTTGCCCTCTGCTGCAACAATTCATGATTACACATCTGAAGCCTTGCATTCAGAGGCATGTATAGTTTGGTTTTGATGCTAAACCGTGACGTTGAACAGAACTCGTGTAGTTATGAATTGTAAACCGGTGTAATTTGAAGCTTTGGCAAAACTGGAAACATTGCTAACTTGGGAAATATTTCCAATTGTGGCCTTAAGGAATTACTGCAACCAAGGATGGTGCAACCCTTGTGGGCATGCTCCCCTTACTCCCCCAACCCTAGTTAAAAAAAAAAACAAAAACAAAAAAAAAAACCTTTGCTAAGATCCAGCACAGTGGCCAGGTTGCCCTGGCATCTCTATTATTTGGTGTTCACTCCCCTTAGATGGAGGGGGGTGGACAGGCTGAAAGGAGAACCTTAGGACGTGAAAGAACAGGAGGAGGGCAACATGCCAACTATGGTCGGCTGGCCCTGAATTTGTGTGTGTTGTGTGTTTGTTTTTTTTTGTTTTTTGTTTTTTTTTTGGTTTTTTTCATTAGGAGTGATGGCACTGCTTTGTTTATTTTCGAAATCCTTACCCGGGTACTTTTATATTTGTTGACTGACTGAACAGGAACAACATGTTCTTTTTCTTTTAATTAGCACTGTACCACCCCACAAAAACACTAGCCGCTTCAGATTGAAACACGACAGCGATATCCTTATTAAACTGTTATACAATGACCGCTTATCTCTTTATTTATTTTTATTTATTTATTCCTCCTGTGTTGAATAGTTTACCAGTCGTAGTATTCCCTTACATTTCTGTGGGTATGCCTACATAATATGCACTAGTAATATCACCTTGGGGTGATATGTAGTATGTATGAATAACACCTTTTTCAAGATACATTTATAATAATATATTGAATATATGTCTAACCTTGTGAAAGAAAAAAGTGAACTTAGTGGATCGTACTAACACCAAAAGATCACTCAGTGGAGCGCTAAATATCAAATTCTTACCCCTATTGGAATAACGTATATATCACTTTAAGGGGCAGACAGCATAATAAAATCTACAACAAGAAAATACACATCATGGTGCAGTATGCTTGTAAGGTGTGAATGGAGTGGAAGAAGATGTATGTCCAACTCACATGGTAAAGAGCCTGGAGATTGGCTCAAATCACAACAGCTGAGGTATGTTTGGTAATACCAGACCTTCTCCAGATATACAGCTCACAACATATGTGGATAAAAAAGGACAAAAATCCTAGTGCAAGTATGTTTAAAATAAACAAGTGGTCACATATAACAGTGCATGAATGTGCTCACCTGGAATAGAGCCAATTGTACTAGGCTCTATGTATAAGCGTGTGGTGCCTTTAAGGGAGGCACTACCCTTCTTTAGAAAATGCAGGAAGCAGTTGAAGATCCACTACCAGATGTATAAGGTAAAAGTAACAATTTATTAAAAAAAAAACAATTAAGCAAAGTAAAACTGTATATACAGATACCAAAAAGTAAAAGTCTCTGGGGTGGTCTTCCTTGGAGTTCCGAGACGCGTTTTCGCCGTGGGGCTTTCTCAATCGGATGAATCTGCTTCCTGAATGGGCGATGTTTAAATGTTGGCGCCGTCCGTCTGATTGGACGTGCTGATTGCCGGGTAGCCAATCGTAATGCATGGAATGTGGAGGTGTGTCTCACAGCTGACGGTCGTGAGTCCGGGAGCTCAAAACCCGGAAGTACCATGAAGTGTAGCCAATCTCACGTGGTTAACTGACGTTGTCATTTGGAGCATGTTCAGTGGTTACTAAGCTGTCCGAGGAGCCATCTTGGTTATGGGCAATAGCTCCATAGTTAGATCCATTTTTTTAAAAATCCAATATTGCATAAAGAGTCCCATATTAATAGTAATATATAAAATAAAAAGCAAAAAGAACATGGTTATACATAGCAGAATAATAATATTAGCATATATACATAAAGGGACTATTGACTCTCATTATATGCTTGCAATCAAAAGGGAAATGTGCTAAAAAAAAATAAAAAAAAAAAAGGCAATCAGATGATTGAAAAAAAGGTGGCACAACACATGTCAGTGAATGAAGTGGATAAGCAGTGCCAACTGATCTAAAAGCATACATAAAAGATCCAATTAAAATTTAAGTCTTATCTTAAAAAGTGGCAAAGCTCAAAATCATTATTTAAACCATATGGTTGTAAACTGTTTAAATTAAAAATCCATTTCATTTCCATTTGTCCCATCTTTTTAATGGTATCATCACCTCTCCAATTAAGGTGAACTCTCTGGATTCCCAAAAAAGTCATCTGATTTGGATCACTATTGTGTTTGATTTTAAAATGTAGTGATAGACTATGTTTGGTATATCCATTTCTGACATTGCGTACATGTTCTTGTATCCTAACTTGCAAGGGGCGAGTAGTGCGTCCTATATAGACAAGATTGCAGGCGCATTTAATCATATAAATTACATGTTTGGTGTGACATGTAATGATTTCTTTAATTATAAACTTTTGATCTTTATCATGAGGGTGTTGGAGATTTTTTATATGACGTTTAGAACTTTTTGTGTTTTTACAAGCACCACAAATTCCACATCCATAAAAACCACTACTTTCATTGAATGGATTTCCTTTAATGTTTTTCTTCAATGAAGAATGGTTTTGAGTCAAAAATGGATATACCAAACATAGTCTATCACTACATTTTAAAATCAAACACAATAGTGATCCAAATCAGATGACTTTTTTGGGAATCCAGAGAGTTCACCTTAATTGGAGAGGTGATGATACCATTAAAAAGATGGGACAAATGGAAATGAAGTGGATCTTTAATTTAAACAGTTTACAACCATATGGTTTAAATAATGATTTTGAGCTTTGCCACTTTTTAAGATAAGACTTAAATTTTAATTGGATCTTTTATGTATGCTTTTAGATCAGTTGGCACTGCTTATCCACTTCATTCACTGACATGTGTTGTGCCACCTTTTTTTCAATCATCTGATTGCCTTTTTTTTTTTTATTTTTTTTTAGCACATTTCCCTTTTGATTGCAAGCATATAATGAGAGTCAATAGTCCCTTTATGTATATATGCTAATATTATTATTCTGCTATGTATAACCATGTTCTTTTTGCTTTTTATTTTATATATTACTATTAATATGGGACTCTTTATGCAATATTGGATTTTTAAAAAAATGGATCTAACTATGGAGCTATTGCCCATAACCAAGATGGCTCCTCGGACAGCTTAGTAACCACTGAACATGCTCCAAATGACAACGTCAGTTAACCACGTGAGATTGGCTACACTTCATGGTACTTCCGGGTTTTGAGCTCCCGGACTCACGACCGTCAGCTGTGAGACATACCTCCACATTCCATGCATTACGATTGGCTACCCGGCAATCAGCACGTCCAATCAGACGGACGGCGCCAACATTTAAACACCGCCCATTCAGGAAGCAGATTCATCCGATTGAGAAAGCCCCACGGCGAAAACGCGTCTCGGAACTCCAAGGAAGACCACCCCAGAGACTTTTACTTTTTGGTATCTGTATATACAGTTTTACTTTGCTTAATTGTTTTTTTTTTTAATAAATTGTTACTTTTACCTTATACATCTGGTAGTGGATCTTCAACTGCTTCCTGCATTTTCTAAAGAAGGGTAGTGCCTCCCTTAAAGGCACCACACGCTTATACATAGAGCCTAGTACAATTGGCTCTATTCCAGGTGAGCACATTCATGCACTGTTATATGTGACCACTTGTTTATTTTAAACATACTTGCACTAGGATTTTTGTCCTTTTTTATCCACATATGTTGTGAGCTGTATATCTGGAGAAGGTCTGGTATTACCAAACATACCTCAGCTGTTGTGATTTGAGCCAATCTCCAGGCTCTTTACCATGTGAGTTGGACATACATCTTCTTCCACTCCATTCACACCTTACAAGCATACTGCACCATGATGTGTATTTTCTTGTTGTAGATTTTATTATGCTGTCTGCCCCTTAAAGTGATATATACGTTATTCCAATAGGGGTAAGAATTTGATATTTAGCGCTCCACTGAGTGATCTTTTGGTGGTAGTACGATCCACTAAGTTCACTTTTTTCTTTCACATTGTGTTTGTGTAGGATTGGGATACCTGCATGCGTGTTTGAGCTGCTGTTCTATTTATATATTATTGTTAAGCGCCTAATTGCACAGAGCACCTTTTTCTTGTACTATATGTCTAACCTTGTTTATGTATAAATGAAATGCATGTTAGTGCTTTTTGCCATCTGGTAAATTACTCATGTATTTATAAAACGTTTATATTTAATTTTATCTCTCTATAATCTCTTCTTTGATGCAGAAGTGCCTAACTGTCAGTCCTCTTGCTTTGGTACAGGAAGCTATTTCCAGGGCGATCGTTCAGGTGAGTGATCTTATTACAGCCTTGTAATAACGCTTGGACATATGTACCTTTACCAGTGCTATCCCTAAACTTGTTAACCAGTATTTGTTAAAGTGACTGATAAATATCCTGAAGTATTTGTTTAATGATAAAGTAACAAAATGCTTGTCATAGTGCAAATTTCATAGTGGGTTGGTACAGAAGTGTGGCAGGGGCTTCATATTTCCACTGCAGTTGTGCATTCGTCTGATCTGTCCTGAGCGCAAATCTCTCCTGGACAGATCAGAGGATGGTGGTTATGTGGACATTTCTGTAAATATTGTTGTTCCCCCACATAGTAATGTGTCTTATCATCTACGTTTAACTTCCCTTTTCATTTAACCCCCCCCCCCCCAGGATTTCCTTATGACCAAAACAGACTGTACTACGATGATACCTGTGTTGTACCTGAAAGAGTTGAAGGTAAGAGTAAAATATTTTAAATTCTCTGGCATAAGAACTTAAATTTGCAATTCCTACACAGCTAGCCAGGATTTAAGTTACCAGCCACTGCAAGCCTAGATGGTCCATAATTACACTTGGCAGGGTAAGTTTCTGCTCCCAGATGGAAAGTTTTATTTGCCAATAGCTAGTGGAATTTTTTTAAATTTTTTTTTATTTGAAGTGTTTGGCATGGGTTTCAGATTTGTATAGTTTTTATCCAGTTGGGGGCTTGGTAACTTGACTGTACTGCTCTGTATATCTCTACTCTCTTTATACTTTTTAATGGTAAAGTGAAGTGAATAAAACTTATATCATGCTTGTGTTTTTAACATTGTTGTACTTATCAATAAATACACACAAAATACTTTATTGCTTCTTGTTGCATACAAAGAAATGCTTTGTGGCATTCTTCATTATTTCTACATTTAGCGGCATTCATTTATAAATCCGTGGAAAGGAATGTTTATTTTTTTAACTCCCCTTCATTGAGACTAGATTTTACAATCCTTGACACTTTTGTTGCAGACTCTGTCCAGAATGGCTATACTTTTTTTTTTTTTAAGTTTATAATTCCATATAATATTTCATAGTATAATGGGATGCATGTAACACTATAATTAAAGCAGTACAGAAGTATGGTCTTGTTGGCTGCAGGTCATGGGAGAAAAAGGATATTATGTTTTGTGGATTGGTTTATCTGTTGTGAATACTGTTTCTAAGTAGAAGAAGCCTTTCATCTTGTAGGCTAGCCAGATGTAAGGTTGAAGCAGGTTTGTGGACAATTTTTGTCTTGGATCCTCCCCGCTTTGGCATGCTTCTGAAATATTGTGCTGTCCTGTTAATTCTCTGGGAAGCATGCTCAAGCATCTAGCCCCTGGATAGTCAACCCGGTCTCTACTGCTCACTAGTTGGCGGTTTGGGATTTCAGGTGGGCGGTGGAGGGTTCTGCAGAAAACACCTGGTGGGCCTCGATGGCCATGGACCAAGACCTGCATCAGAGAGAATTTCATCTCCGCTGGTGAGGAGCTCAAAGATCTCCCTAACCGTCTCGCTGCCACTTAGTTCCAGCAGAGGGAGAGAAGGGCTTGGGAGGCTTTGTGTTCCTCCCACGAGCAGGCTGGCCGGAGCGTTGCCACGTGTTACCATGGCAATGCTTCGATATAGTGCTGTTCTCGCAGGAGGACAGGAGAGTATATGTGTATTCTCTCCCTCGCAAAAGTATTCACCCCCTTGACTTTTTACCTATTTTGTTACATTACAGCCTTAAGTTCAATGTTTTATTAATCTAAATTTTATGTGATGGATCAGAACACAATAGTCTAGAATTTTCTATCATTTCACTTCGCCAACTTATACATAAAACAATTTTTTTAGAATTAGAAAACAGAAAATTGGCATGTGCGTATGTATTCACCCCCTTTGTTATGAAGCCCATAAAAAGCTATGATGCAACCAATTACCTTCAGAAGTCACATAATTAGTGAAATGATGTCCACCTGTGTGCAATCTAAGTGTCACGTGATCTGTCATTACATATACACACTTTTTATTTTTTTTGAAAGGCCCCAGATGCTGCAACACTTAAAGGACCACTATAGTGCCAGAAAAACATACTCGTTTTCCTGGCACTATAGTGCCCTGAGGGTGCCCCCACCTTCTGCTCTGCAAGGGTGAAAGGGGTAAAAACTTACCTTTTTCCAGCGCTGGGCGGGGAGCTCTCCTCCTCCGTTCCTCCCCGTCGGCTGAATGAGCACGCGTGGCAAGAGACAGCAGCTATAGGCTTTGGGGGAAGGCTTAACCAATTCATAAACATAGCAGTTTCTCTGAAACTGCTATGTTTATAAAAGAATGGGTTAATCCTAGCTGGACCTGGCACCCAGAACACTTCATTAAGCTGAAGTGGTCTGGGTGCCTAGAGTGGTCCTTTAAGCAAGAGGCACTACTAACCAAACACTGCCATGAAGACCAAGGAACTCCCCAAACAAGTTAGGGACAATTTTGTTGAGAAGTACCAGTCCGGGTTAGTTTAAAAAAATAAAAATAAAATAATAATAATAAAAAAAAAAAAAATCTTTGACGATCCCCAAGGAGCACCATCAAATCTATCATATCCAAATGGAAAGAACATGGCACAACAGAAAACCTGCCAAGAGATGGCAGCCCACCAAAACTCAAAGACCGGGCAAGGAGGGCATTAATCAGAGAGGCCGCACAAGACCCAAGGTAACCCTGGAGGAGCTGCAGAGTTCCACAGCAGAGACTGGAGTATCTGTACATAGGATGACAATAAGCCGTACGCTCCATAGAGTTGGGCTTTATGGCAGAGCAGCCAGAAGAAAGCCATTACTTTCATTAAAAAAAAGGCACGTTTTGAGCAGGGCCGAACTGGGAATTAAAAGCAGCAGGAGCTGTGATTGCCAGGACTTTAGGGGGTGAATAGTTGTGCACGTTGACTTTTTCTGTTATTTTGTCCTATTTGTTGTTTGCTTCACAATAAAAAACCAGCATTTGAAAAAAACTGCATTTGAAGATCACACTTAAGTGTCAGAATTAAAGGAAGACTTAAAACGCTATAAACACTACAGCAGGGCTGCCCAAAAGGTAGATCTAAACGCCCATGATGCTGTGTAAGCTGTAGTTTTAAAACTACTGGAGATCTAGCTTTTGGGCACTCCTGCACTACAGTGTGCATTAGTGGTTATGGTGCTTGAAGTGTTCCTTTAAGTGTATACGCTATGTAGGATTTTCTGTAGATGTTTGATTTCTGTGGTTTACATTTTGTGCTATATCACTATTGTTTTACTGGATGCATACTGATCTGTGAGCTGTGTCTTGTATATCGCAGGAAGCAAAGTGAAACAGGAACCCAACTTTTACAAGGAAGGCCCACCATACCAGCGCAGAGGGTCACTGCAGCTCTGGCAGTTCCTGGTCACACTTCTCGAGGACCCAGGAAATGCTCATTTCATTGCGTGGACAGGAAGAGGCATGGAATTTAAACTAATTGAGCCGGAAGAGGTAAGCACTCGTATATCAAGCTACATATATAATTGTGGGGTTTTTTTGTTTTTGTTTTTTTTAAAGCAGTGGCCCTGTTAACTTGCTCTATGCTGTGAATTGAGGGGTGGTTAAAGGGAGGAGGCATATCTATATAAGCCCTTTACCCTCTATTATTGTGGGGTGAGTAATGCAGCAGGTTAAGTTAAAAATAAAAACTTGGCTGGACTTTTTGTATCATCTACTTGGCTGGACTTTTTGTATCATCTCTACCATCTCATGATGTCTCAGGTGCACCCATTTTAGAATTTACATATATTCATTAACACTCTTGGCCAGCACAATATGCAAGTGGAAACATATTTTGCAAAACTAAGTAGAAATAAAATTTTAAGTTTAGCATAACCAGCTGTTAGTAGTTTGTGATAAAATAAGCCAAATCACAGATAAACCCCATTTAGCTACCAGATAACATGCAAAACGGTCTTTGTATCTGGTATTTTCTTCTAAATCTAGCCTTGTGTAATGGTATCTCACAATTATTTAATAAATTGATACCATGCCTATTTGAGCATAAAGAGCCAACTACTGGGCAGATAACCCTGTAACTTTGTATGATTTGTTTCCCTCTTTGTGTTAGGTTGCAAGACGTTGGGGAATTCAAAAGAATAGGCCGGCAATGAATTATGATAAATTAAGCCGCTCTCTTCGTTACTATTATGAAAAGGGCATTATGCAAAAGGTATGTATCGATCTTAGTATTGTAAGAATTTACCAAATCATGCTGAGAAATATTACTTTTGGAACAAAACTATTTTGGGCAAAAAGTGTATGGTTTTTAAAAATTTTTTTTTTTTTTTTGTAAATACTTCTTAAAAGCGTATAGATATTTCCAACCCACTTCTTAATATTTATTTTTAAGTAATGAATACTGAGTTGATGAATATTCAAAGTGCTATATGTCCACTAGCATACTGCAGTATTCTTCTTCTCTAATTTTAACCATTTGTATCTCTGATCTTTAAGGGTGAATTTTATTGTCTGTAGTCTAAATGATCTCCTGCTATGTGGCCTATTGCTCTTAAAACTCCTTCCACTAATGTGTTGTAATACTCACTTTGCATCATCAGTATCCCTTTAACCCTTTTCAATCCAACACAATGGACACATCTCCAGTTCAGTGGAAATTGTAGAAACTTGTGTACCTATCCTGCTTAAAATAACACCATTACATCTAATGGGGAAAAAAAAAATGAGTAGGTCAAAAACTGGGAAGATTTTACACATTTCTTTGTATTGACATTGTTAATGGCAATGTATATTTCAATTACAGGTGGCTGGTGAGCGGTATGTCTACAAGTTTGTATGCGATCCGGAGGCTCTCTTTACAATGGCTTTTCCAGACTATCAACGTTCTCAAGTAAAAATTGAAACTGACTGCCATGCCCCTGAAGAGGACACAGTACCTCTAACCCACTTTGAGGAGAACACTGGCTACATGTTAGATTTGGAACTGGTCAAAAATCCTTTTTACGCTGAGGATCCTTCGTACTAAGCAAGGATAAATTGTCCACATTGCTGATTGGAGGAGCAAGGAACAATATGCTATCAAAATGTGCTTTCTAAAGCAGGACTAGATCATCTCTACATTAAAGGATATTAGATAGTGCTTGGTAACTTGGAACATAGCATTATAACCAGTCTTGATTAGTTTAAAGTTTTTTTTTTGTGGGTATTGCAGAGTTTTTTTTTTTTTCAGATTTTTCACATATATCAGAATGTACCCCAGTTCAGTGACCATACCAGTGGTTTAATTTTTTTTTCAATTCAATAAGACAATAATTCACCTGCAAGGACTATTGCAGTTATGTTCTGCAAAGAAATATAATTTGAACAGTTATTCTCATGGAACTTTTTAAAAGACTGTGACACTCCAATATATTATGACAATCTGCGATGTAATAATTGTACTTGTAGATGCCTTTTACCCTTAAATAGGGGCTTATTATGCACAATTGCTTTAAAAGGGACAGTAAGTATGTAATTAAACAAATACTTGCTTTTATAGTAGATTTAATACTTTTTTTGAGATATATGATGTAAATAACAGAGTATGAAAATCTTTCATAAACACAGGGCATTCTTTTAAGGATGGAAATGAAATATGTTCAAATTAAGATTTTATTACGGTTTAATGTCAAACTTTTCAATTTATCGTTCACAATCTGCACGCATAGTTTTGAATCAGGATTCACTTTAAATTTTCACTTTCATTTAAGCAATTTAGAATCTCCTTTCACATTTAGGTGGGTCTTTCTTTTCTTATTGGTTTTTTCCTAATTTTTTTTGTTTGTTTTTTTGTGATTGGTGCTAAACTGATTTGTAGGCTGATTAGTCCCTAAATGTGTCAAAACTAGAATATAGCCATTTTTATGTTTTGTTTTCTTTTATTTTTTCCCTTTTTTTTTTTTTTTTTTTTTTTTTTTTTTTTTTTTTTTTTTTTTTTTTTTTTTTTAATTTTGATTTTATTATTGTGTATAGAACTGCCATGTAACCTGCATGGCCATTACATTTTGCACAATTGTTTTAAAATAAACTGAATGGCATTATGACTCTCTATGTAGTGAGTAACTGTAAAACATGTTTAATGAGCTTTAATAACTTTAACTATACTGCCCGTATTTTTTTATCTTCAAGTTCTTGGTGTGTTTTTTTTTGTTTGTTTTTGTTTTTTTAAGATTTCAAAAAAATTGGCTTTAACAGTAATTTATTTTGTAACTTTAGATTTCTGCAAAAAAATAAATAAATAAACAATAGTTTTGACAGATTCATCCAGATCAAATGCCTTTTTTAAATCTTGTATAGACTCCCAATGTAAATAGTGGAGGAATATATTTGTCTGGCATGTATTACGAAATTTGATTTAGACAAACCTCTACAGCCTTTTTTTTTTTTTTTTTTTTTTTTGGTCTCTCCAACTCTATTTAGCACCTTTTCAGTACACTGGAATATGCATATCCCTAGAATTACTGAGTAGCTGATTTTGTTGGCATTTTTCTTTTCCTTTTGTAAAATTACCATGCAGTATGGTATGCAAACTAATTTAGGTTAATTTGCAACATCAGTTTGCTGCCTAGTATGCCAACTAACCATTTCTAAAAAGAAAATCAAATTTGCGTTTGTTTTTTTGTGAGGGGTAAAAGTTCTGATGTGAAGGAAGGGGGAAATTCCATGCTATTCTAGTAAATATAATCACACACTCTTTCTATTGAATTATCTAGTGCTTGCTGCTATAATTTTTAGTTTAAGCCAATCTGCTAGAATGCAATGTAAAACCCTTGGAGAGCCACCAAGTGCCTCAATAAGGAATTATCTATTGATTTTTATGGGATTTCCTGTCATGTGGTCTGTGTACTGTTGGGAAATCTCCAGCTAGAAGTAGCACCAAAGAATAGATTTAATATTACCAAGTCAACAAGAACTATGAAGATACGTTTTTATATTCATGCAGTTCTTTATTTTTTATCAAAGGTGAAAAAGGATTATGCCTTCTTAACTTTAAATCTGTCAATGATTTGCAGTAGTTGTGGTGCTTAGAATAAGAATGCTCATAAGTGGTTATGATTTGTTTGCTGTCTCCTTGACGTGTCATTCTAAGCAGAGCTGTCATGACACTTAACGCACATACCCTCTGTAGCTCCACTAATGTGGTAGTTCATTGAACTCCTGCATTGACCATCCAGATTTAGATCAAGAATATGCAGTGATGGCCCAAGCACTCTCAAGCTATGAATGCTACTTAAAGGTGTGTAATCTAATGTGGAGGTTCTTTTATGCTGCATTACAGCCATAAGTGAGGGGCTGACCTTTAGCTGCCAGGAGATCTGGCTCATTTGACACAAACCAAGAAGACAACAAAGACTATCTGCACCATAACCACTACATGTGTCATATTGGTCATGGTGTTTACCAAGCCCCTTTATATGAAAATACTTTTAATTTACATTTTAGTTGTTTACAGTGTATGTATAATATATACATTATACTGTTTAAGAACCGCACAAACCTAAAAATAGTTTTACATTTTATAAGGCTACTTAAAATCACCTCTCCCTGCAAACAAGTATGGGGATTCAGTTCCACCATATGGCCATATTGTGTTAAGCCCACCACTACTTAGTACCACAATATTGGTGGGTCCTACACTAATTTTAATGTGGGTGACAAATTAAGTAAATAAGCTAAAGTGTATTTAATCTGTTGTAAGAGCACTGTGGGGAAAATAAATTTATATATATACACTTTTTTTTTTTTTTTTAAATCTTCAAATAAAAATGATTAAAGTGACATGATTGTCCAAGACCTCCTCAAATGTATACTTGTGGTCGCTTCCAAGAGGGCCTTAGAAGGTGGGGGGGCGGGAGGAAGTTCTCAGCCCAAAAGGAATCTAGTCTGGACTCTTTACTTGCATACTAAAGAGAGGGAGAACACCTGGAACATGCTGCTGTAGATAGAGGTGCTTTTAAACAGCCTTGGAAAATTAAAAATTAATTGTATACCTTTTTGGTCTCTACGGCATGTTCCGGGTGTACCCAATTCAATTTGTTGCTGCAGATAACACACCAGATTTCCCACTGACATGCTCGTAGTTTTCACTAGGGCACAGTCTCTTGCACTTTTTATTGTGTGGAATTTACACATATGGTAGACTTGATCTTCATGACTTCATTAACACAATACATAGCAGCTGAGGGAAAACTAACTCTATGCTTCTTGCCTCCATACCTCCCTACAGGGTGGTTGTTTTTTTGTTTTGTTTTTTTCCCTTTCTCCTCTGTCCATTCATCCTTTTTAATCCACCAAACTCTTTAAATGAACATAAAGCAAACATTTTAGTTGACAATCTATGCACAAACCTGGTGCTAGGTCATATAATTTTATATAAAATATATAAATTCCATGTTTTAAATGAGGGGAGGAAACTGAGTTCATATAATTTAAAAACGAACACCCTTTCACTCCCAAGAATTGGATTAGTATTTATTTAAAGGTGTCTGAGGTTTCGTAAAACTATTTTTTATTTTTTTTGATCACCCTTTTAAACCCCTCCCTTCGGTATTTGCTTTCCTGGACAATTCTGAGAACCTATATTATGAGATCAATGCAAATAACCTTCTTTAAGTAAAAATGTCTCTGGCACAGGCTAACTTGCACAATGCCATTTTTTTTTTTTTTGAGTGCACACTGCAGTCACTCTAATGCCACCTCTTCTCTACATAAACGCTACAACGATAAATTATGAAAGTGCCCAGTATCTTAAATGTTTAAGTGTATATATTAGTGTGGCGATTACACTTGAGGAAAATGCTTGTGTGCCATATAGCTTTTTATACTGTTAATACAGTTGATATTTTATGATTTAGAAATGTAAGTAGAGTATATGACCCTTGGTCAGTAGTTTCACTCAATTTGTTTGATATATTTCTATGAAAAATCCAACGTAGTGTCCATAATTTCATCTTGCATCTGGACAATTTCCAGGAAAATGCTAGAAGCATGTGGACCTTCCAATAATGCATTGCATCCACTTACTAGCCATTTGGCTTGCACAATTATATCAATGGGGAAAAAAAATAGACCAGACCCTCAGGATTTTCAAGTGTTTGTTTTTTGTTTTTTTGAAACGTTAATGTCATGGTTTGTGATGGTAAAGGCTATTAGCCAGTATTTCCTGAGGGGTTTATTCACAAAACGCCAAACTGTAGACCATTGCTAAAATCCTATGTTTGCCATTCTGTATCCAAATCCGAAGTGGCAAAATGTAGACGTTGAATGAATAAACCCCACAGGACTTGAGCGATTTGGCGGTAACTGACCAGAGACACAGTAGTGATGCATCAGACTGATTTTTACCAATCTCTCTTAGAGCACTTTCTATGCAGACAGATTATAAACTCTTCATTGGGTTATTTACCGAGGTGAGAATTGTCAGAATTTAAAGTGAATTTCAATTCCAAAGTAGCTGAACTGGAGAAATGTTCCCTCATTGGTTTCCAGTTTTACTACTTTTGCCTTAAATTTGAGATTCCCTTTAAATTCTGCACGAGTCTCACTTCAGTGAATAGCTCTGACTGTAGCTGTAGTTCTTTTTGATGTATGACTGTCTTGCTGTTACACCAGAGTAGAGAATTTACATGAAAAGATTTGTGGCCATTTTTTGAAGGGAAAATTTACATTACCTCCCGTTTTTAAAGTAGATCTTACTTTCCACTGATACAATTTAGAACAGAGACTTGCTTTACAAGGCAGACATCCCATCTTGCTAAAAGTCACCTGTTTTTGAGAGTATCCTAATCACATTTCAAAGCTTGAGTTGTATGAAAGCACAGCCTTTTTACAACATTGTTGGTTTGTTTTTGTGTAAAAATTTGTTTTTTAACAAAGTAAGACATTCTGTAAAGATGTGTAATGTTTTGTTTGAAGAAGGGAAGGTGTTCTATCAAACATAAATCTTTGTTATTGCTTTTGTTTTGATTGTTACTTTTGAAAATATTTGCATGATCATAATGGTTTATAAAACATGCTATTTCAAACATTGCATAAATACATATTTAATCAAAAATAAACACCATTGTACACCATGCTGGACATATTGGTTTTCTTTTTAGTGTGGCTAAAATTGCTGTGCATCAATTTAGTTTTTGTTTTACAATGACACTTATGTACCATTATTGTATGGGTTTTTAGACTAATATCTTTTCTGTAGACATGAACTTGTATTTTAAAACTATATTTTGTTTTTCAGAAAACATTCTTATAAAAATGTCATTTTCTTTTTCTGGCAATATCCCTTGGCGGTGTTGCTTACAGGTAGTTTTCCCCTTGTTAAGACAGGAACGACTTTTTATTTTTTTTGTAAACCAATTTTATCCCCGTTCCCCCAAGTCTCTGGTTATCTCACTTTCATCTAACTCATAAGGAAGAATGTCTGATGCCGCCATGAAACACACACAGGAAAAGAATACTATTGCGATTATATTATATAACCATGGCAGCAATACATTAATTAGCGCTGCAAAAGCAAATTTCTTAGAGGAACGGAGCTATAAAGATATATAAAATCTTCCAAACAAATTGCACTCCAATTACTTTTTAATTCAAATAAAACTTTAATATGAATGTTTGTTTCAGTACGACTAAGCTAACTTTCTTCAGGACAGTTCTGAAGATTGTTGGCTCAGTCTAACTTAAATGTTGATAAACAAGAAGTAGTCTTGGAGTGTTTGGAAGGTGGATAATCTGCTTAACATTGCACTTGGCATGCTATAATGTAAATCCTAGAGTGCAAGATCTCTGGGTGATATAGAAAAATTATTAATTCTCGTAATTTTTAATTTTTCTGGTCATAGGCCATAGAAGCGCGGCACTGGGGTTAGCTCCGCCCATCCCAAATTAGACAGGAACCGAATTAAAACATGGGTATAATTACCACTACCTACCACTACATAGGAAAAGAAAATTATGGTAAGAATGAATGTCTCCTCTCCTAGCCATATCCATAGCAGCACAACTATGGCTAATACGGAGGAACGTCCAAGGGAAGGAAAGAAAACAACCTCCACGTGGAATGCATAAATCAAATCTGAAAAGGTGAAACCAACATTGTGTTAATTATAAGAAACTGAGAGAAAACTTCCAATTAATAAATGTCCGGCGAAAGTATTAATAAAATACCACGTAGCAGCTTTATAAATCATATCAGGAGATACTCTAGCTGCTGCTGCACAGGAGGAAGACTGATCTTGTCGAGTGGGCTTTAAGTCCATTTGGAACAGGGACCTGTGAACTTGGTAGCTGAAACAATCCATCTGACTGCATCCTTGGATGCTTGTGATCCCTTCCTGGCTCTGTTTGGAGTCACAAACAGTCAGGGCTGCCACCAGAAATTTTGGGGCCCCTAACTCAGCTCAGGGTCTGGGGCCCGCCTCCAATCCTGCCCACAGGGTCTGCCTCCAAATCCCGCCCACAGGAATACACACACAGACACAAAATCACACTGATACAAAAGGACACAGATACTAACAGACACATATACTGAAACAGACATACACACATATAGGCATACATACTGACACACATGCATGAGGACATACACCGACATGCAAGCCTGATCGTCTGCAAAGCCTGATTCCCCAACTTTGCAAGCTCATTCCTTCAGTGAGCAAGCCTGATCGTCTGCAAAGGTAGCCTTCTGGAAGACCACACTAAGACTCTATCCTGCACACCTTCGTTTAGTTTTAACTTAACCACCCTGTACATTTATTTTATTTTTATTTAATATATCCTGTGTACATTGTATATTTTCTTGTATTTATATCTTGTCTGTTATGCTAAAGTGTAGTTTTGCTAGCCCTGTATGTAATTGTTTTATTCACCTATATGCATTCCTCTATTTCCCCTCTGATTTGTGACTGACCTCTGACCCCTCCCTTTTCTTATTGATATGTTTGTTTTTATTTGAATATCCATCTCTTCATCTCTGTACCTAGATACATTTCCCCCTCCCTTACCTTTATTGCAAGCTCTCTGACCCTCACATCTCTTTATTCAACAGCCTTATTCTCCAACTTTGCAAGCCCATTCCTTCAGTGAGCAAGCCTGATGCCCACACCATCCCACCCCATGCTCATTATTACATTTATAGATTGTCTGTCACACCTACATTTTAGTTAGATTAAAAAAAACCTGCCTCTTATTAGTACACTCCTGCACTTTCTTAACCCATAAAACACCTTCACCTGCTCTTGATAGTCCAATTATCTTTTTATTTGACACAGTTTAGCAATGATCTGTTTTCTCCTCCTCTTTATTTCCTCAGTCTCCCTCAGTATAAAAATCTCTCCTTACACCCACTTCACTCATGTCCCCCCCATCAACATTTACATATTTCCTTCTCTGCTACACTCCCCCCTTCTCTCATCTCATGCTTTACACTCATTTTTCTACTCTCTCACTCCAACCCACAATCGATCTCATCCTAGACCCCATGCATACAAAACCCATTCACACCTCCTGTCACTTTCTCTCCTCGTACTTCTAGCAGCTGGTGATGTCTCTCCCAATCCAGGGCCCTTCACCTTCTCTACACACATTAAGACAACCAGAAACCCCACAAACCTCATCACAATACCCTGCCCTTTACCCTCACTTACCAAAATTAATTGTGCACTCTGGAATGCCCGCTCCATCTGCAGTAATTTAAAATCAACAACCGTACATGACTTTTTCATCTCAAACTCACTCACACTACTGGCACTTACAGAGACCTGGCTGTCCCCCTCTGATAGCGCTACTCCTGCCTCTTTATGTTTTGGTGGGCTACAATTCTCTCACACTCCCAGGCTCAACTGCAAAGGAGGCGGCATAGGCATCCTTCCCTCCCCTCAATGTACCTTTCAACCAATCATAAATCCACCTGCCCTATCCTTTTCTTCTTTTGAAGTTCACACAGTCCGACTATTTAAACCCACTCCTTTAAGAATTGCTATCATCTACCGCCCCCCTGGTTATGCTAGACTATTCATTGAGCACTTTTATTCCTGGCTTCCCCACTTCCTCTCATCTAGCACTCCTTCCCTTATACTTGGGGATTTCAATATCCCAATCAATAACCCCAATTGCACTGATGCCTCTCGTCTGCTCTCTGTAACCACCTCTTTTGGCCTTACGCAATGGTCCAATCTAGCAACCCATACAGCAGGAAACACTCTTGATCTTGCCTTCACCAACCTCTGAACTGCCTCTAATCTCTCCAATATTCCTTTTCCTCATCTGACCACCATCTGCTGACTTTTGACATTAGCATACCTAAGACCCAACTGACACCACCGTCTGAACATCACTCTCACAGAAACCTCCAATTTCTTGACCTAGAGCATTTCTCCACTAATCTCCAAACTCTCCTTTTACCTATCTCAAACCTCACCTGCCCTAGTTCTGCAACCTCCTTCTTCAATTCCACCCTCTCTCAACTAGATATCATGTCATCTTGTACATATAAACGCCGCAGGCTCCCCCCCCCCCAACAACAACCCTGGCACACCAAGCTCACTCAGTACCTCCAAAAATGCTCCAGAACTGCTGAACACTGTTGGAGAAAGTCTCACTGTGCGTCTGACTTTCTCCACTATAAATTTATGCTGAGCTCATACAGCTTGGCTCTTTCCTCTGCAAAAGTTAATTACTTCAATACCCTCATAACCACACCTTCCCGCGAACCCAAACGACTATTTCACACATTTAACTCTCTTCTTCGCCCTGCTGTTCCTCCTCCACCTACTAACTTGACGGCCTCAGACTTTGCAACTCGCTTCACTGACAAGATCTCTACAATCAGAGAAGAGATCTCTCATCTTTCTTCTCCCCCCTAACTTCACTCCCTCTGCTGTTCTATGTTCATTCGCACCCGCTACATTGGAAGAGGTTTCTGCTCTGCTCCAGTCCTCCCGCTCCATCACCTGCTCCCTAGATCCAATTTCCTCGCATCTCATCTGTACTCTGTCTTCTTCTCTTTCTCCACCTCTCACTAACATTCTCAATCTCTCTCTCTCCTCTGGTATATTTCCATTTCCCTTCAAACATGCAACTGTAACCCCAATTCTAAAGAAGCCCAATATTGACCCTAACTCCCCATCCAACTATCGTCCTATCTCGCTACTGCCTTTTGCATCTAAGATTCTTGAAAAAATTGTGTATGTGAGATTGACAGACTTCCTCGAGACCAACTCTGTGCTAGACCCGCTTCAGTCTGGTTTCCGCGCTAAGCACTCTGTGGAAACGGCACTGACCAAAGAATCCAATGATCTACTCGCTGCAAAATCTCGTGGTCACTACTGTATCCTAATTCTCCTTGACCTGTCTGCGGCTTTTGACACTGTTGATCATCAACAGCTTCTTCTCATCCTCCGCAATATCGGTCTACAAGATATTGCTCTCTCCTGGTGCTCCTCCTACCTCTCCCAGTGCTCTTTCAGTGTTTCTTTCTCTGGCTCTGCTTCTTCTCCCCAACTCCTCTCTGTTGATGTCCCCCAAGGTTCAGTCCTTGGTCCCTTACTGTTTTCCATCTATACTGCCTCCCTTGGTAAACTCATTAGCTCCTTTGGCTCCCAATATCATTTCTATGCAGATGACAGGCAAATCTACCTGTCCTCTCCTGATCTCTCCCCGTCCCTCTTGACTAGTGTCTCTGACTGCCTCTCTGCTGTTTCTAACTGGATGGCTGCCCGCTTCCTAAAACTAAACTTGACCAAAACTGAAATTCTGGTCTTTCCTCCCTCAAGTGTTGTTACTCCTGTGTCAGTCTCCCTCCAAGTCAACAGTGCTACCATCAGAAAATACAAGGAAAGGGCTGCGCTTAGATAAAACTTTAAAAAATATATATTAAAAGTCCAGATAAAATCAATGGATAAAAAGAGAGGGTCTTATCTGGCAATGTCCGTGGTGCTTGGTCCGAAACAATAATCTTGCTTTCTATCTTCCTTATGAGCCGTCTCATATGCAAGAGATAAAAACAAATACAAAGCCAAAATGGTGTAGTATGTCTTGAAAAAAAGGAAGTTGAAATGTAAAACTTGATTG